GAATCATTCAAAGATTCCAGTAAATAAACTGCAATATGATTAGCCAGCATTGGACATAAATTTGCAACCGACTTTAGGACAACTTCACTGAATTCTTACCGCAGCTTGAGCATCTTCTCGTAGGATGCCTCGTCGTTCTTGCGATTCTTGCGGGTTTGCATTTTCTCGGTGCGTCGCCGAAAGGCCAAATACGGATTGTTGGAGCTGGCGCCGGGTCGACTCTCCGTTTTCACCGTGAGAATCAGCGGGTGTTGCTGGATAATGAAAGGGGAGTTGCTTTAGTTTATCGGCACTATCAGATAGCCAGGAAAAAGGGGCTTTTACCATCTTGAGGCGCTTGTTCAGCCAGTAGTCGTAGACGGATATGCTGGTCTCGTCGTCCTGGTTGAGGAGCGACTTGGCCTCGTTTAGCGTGACTACCGTTTGGCCGGAGCTCTTTTCCAGCCGGTCCATCATCTGCTCGAACTTGAGTTCGGTGAGCTCCAGGCGCTGCTGTTGACTGAGCCAGTCCTCGTCGGCACTGTCCATGTCGTAGTCGGGGACCTCGGTATCCAGCCCAAGAGCTGTGGGAAAAAGATAAGAAACTATGTTAGTTTTTTGGCTTATTAAAGAGGATAAAGGTAGACTTAAGGAGGTCAAATTTGAACTATTTACTATCTATATAGTCTCCTAAATCTCCAATCGGGAATTTTACAGGATTTCGGACATAACTTAAAGATCAGTTGAATATTTTCGGAATTTAAGGTACCCAATTACAAAAATATCCAATAAATAGTCAGTAAAAGTTAAGGTAGACTTACGTAGGTCAAATTTAAACTATTTACTAACTAAATAGTCTACTAAAAATAACAAAATTTAAAGAATTCCAGCTCCAATCGGGAATAAAACAGGATTTTCGAAATAACTTAAAGATTAGTTCAACTATTTTCGGAATTTAGGGTACCGAATTATAAAAATATCCAATAATTAGTCAGTGAAAAGGAATTTTATAGGATCTTCTTTGGCTTAAAACAGCTTCTCTGTGCTTACGTTGCATGTGGATCATTTGGCGGGGCATCTTGTAGTCCGGCGGATAGTAGGCATCGTAGAAGGGCTGGTCCGTCTGCAGCACCTCGGGCGTGGGGATGATCAGGCCCGTGCAAATGGCCCGCTGCAGGTGGTGTTCCTACAGGAGATCATCGGGAAATCAGTCTCTTTCAAGGTGGGAGATCTCAGAGATGACCACTTACCGACTCCTCCTCCTTCTCCATGCCACTGGGCATCTGCGGCACCGCCCGGTTGATGGCTGAGTACTCGGGCAGGTCGGGCAGCTCCTCCGCCAAGTAGATGGGCATCTGCTTGGACGGATCCAGATGGCGGGCTCTGAACGACAGCTTGGACATCTTGCTGGCTTTTTGTTTTGGGTAGTGGGTGGTGGTTGTGGGTTGTAGTTGCTGTTGCTGTTGTTGTGGTGGTGTGTGGAACGTTTCTATTTGCTGTTGCTGTGGCTGCTTTGAGTGTTGCCTAGTGGAATTGGCTGCTTAGGTGGCTATGGAGGCTCCGGCTGTCCAACTGCAGTGGGCAGGTCTTGTGCTGCTACTGCTTATGTGGCTCCTGGAGGATCTACTCCGATGCGTGGCTCCTCTACTCGCTGTTTTTGTTTTTGCTAGCTGGAGCTGGAGCTGCTGATCCCTCTGATCCTGATCCTGATCCTGACACCGATCCCGATCCTGAGCACCGGGGCTGCGGTTGCTGTGGCTGCTCTGCCAGCTGGTTAACGCAGCCCCTGTGCCCGTTGCCCTGGCCGAAGACGTAGTGCCACTGCTCGAGAGGATTGGGTGTGGATTGGCGACTATGTAGGGCGTGTCCTCCTCCTCCTCCTGTCCCTGCCCCTCCCGCTCCTCCTCCTCCTTCGCCTCCTCTGCCTCCCTCCTCGCCTCCTCTTGATCGCCAAGAATTCGAGCTGACAGCGCCGACAGCAGGATAATGGCCAAGGAAACGATCTGGTGGCAATTACGACGACAACGCAGTGGTAGCAACAACAGTGACAGCGAATGCAGCAAATGTGTCGACGACATTTTTCACGTTGAAATCGAAGGTTCTGTGTGAATTGGCATAATTACGTTCATCAAATTTGCACATTTCAGTTCATCATCGTTTTAGGCTAAATCGAAATGTTGTTCTTTTTCTGTTTCCTCTTCTTGTTGTTATTATTTATTATGTTTTCGCCTTGGCTTTTGTGTTATCGGTTGGCTGATAAAAAATCTAGAATCGAGAACAACAACAAAAACTAGTAAGTAAACAACTCACACACACGCACACACTTATGAATTAGGAGGAGCGCGCGCGGGAAAAATATCTCAAATACACACACTTTTTCTGTAAGTTAATGGAAAACACGCAGAAAAACATGCGAGCTATGAATCATTCGCATTTCTTCTTTTATTAAAATGCGAAAAACGCCAAATCATAGAAAGCCGAGACGAAGAAAAAGGCGGCATAAACAAACACACGCGCGCCAACAACACACGTCTCAAACAAACGCGGCGAATTTAATACTGTGTGTTTTTTTCCGAGAGATATCCCACTTTGCAGAGCCCTGTTAGCTAACATTTTGTTTGTACAGAACTCTGTTAAGTGAGAAAAAAAAACGCAACCAAACTCCGCCTCATGTGGGTTTTGTTTTTTGCTTTTATCTCGACAATTCGCAGTCGGCCGTCGAGTGCCTGTGTTTTTTTAGGCCCGGACTAATTTTTCACACACTTTACCGCACTTTTCATGCACCAGCGAGCGCAATCTGGTTGATAAATCGCTCGAAAAATTTACGCATATAAACCCGATTTTGCGTATAGCGTGGTTTCGCTGGAAAGCAATAATGGCGGCCAGAGAGCCGAACACCGACGACGCCGCGGACTGCGGGGCCGCGATTAATTTGCGCCGACGGCGGCGATATCGATGAGCGGTCGCCGATTTATTACGCCCAATTTCACATCGGAACTCTATTAAATGCCCGCTATAAATTATTTATTCACAACTGTAATTTTTGGGCGTCGTAAAAATGATTGTTTTCTTTTAAAATATACAATTTAGCACCGCCGCTGTTATCGATAGATCGCCGTTGCGCGCGCCTAATTGCCGGCCTCTCACTCCGATGACACTCCGAACGTTTGGTTAGCGCCCCCTGGCGAGCTCTTCGCGCACTAGGCCCAACGCTGCATGATTTTTTTTTCACAAACAAAAAATCGATTTAGATTTTTTCACGCACATTTTTCACTCTTTGCCAGGCATTTGGGGCCGAAATATGATCAAATGATGTGATTTCCAGCGTATTTACCACTGCCGCACCGTTTACAGCTAAATTGAAGCAGTTGGGCGAGCGCAAACGTTCGAAAATGTTCTTCAGCAGCGGGACACGTTTTTACTTATGGGCGGCCATTACGAATGAAATTTCGGAGTTGTCGGAGTCGATTGAAATCGTCGACGGAGTGGCGAAATTGTTTTGGCTAGGCCTCCGGGCGAATTAGTTAACCGTTTTGAGTGCGGTTTTCGCCTAAATCTGTGGAATTTTGTGGGGGGTCGGATGCATACATTCGGAGGGCCGGGGCAGCTGCATTTATTTAATATTTGTTGTTAATTTACGCAGCCCCCATTCGCCCAGTGGTGGGCGAATAATTCGGAGTGCCTAGGCGTTAGGGCGTTTTGTTTGGACTATCGGATGCGCTCACCATTGCGTTGCCAAATGCACGAACGGGAGGGCTTTAGCATTTGTATTTTTGGTGGTATATAAATACTAGAAAATCCCAGCGAAAACGAGTGGGCAAAATGTCCTAAAATTGGATGTAACTCATCTTAACGGAAGAGGAAGAATTTATGGCGCCCTAATTCAAAAATTGACTTTCTTCTTAGCTTAATACACAAAGATATTCCGAGTTATACAAGTGTTTGTTTTTAAATGTTTATTAAAATGATATTTTATTGTGTTGGCTATATTGTTTGGGAATACATAAAAATAGAAAAACTATGTATGTGCAACGTCTTTATGTCATTTTTTAATTTCGAAAAAAATGTCATTTTATTTCTTCGTTTAAATGCTTTTGTTTTATTATAATCTCTTACAAGGCTTTTCGTACTCGCTGTTTTGCTTAACTTTCTTTATTTGCTAGTTACAATGATAGTTTTAAAGGTGCTCGTTGACTTTTCATCTTTTGCTTTGGATTTTGGAATACAATTAAAATATTGTCGATATTTAACAATTTCTGGGAGTAATGCTGATTTGGCCAAGCGATTTTGAATGGTAGTTTATGTTGGTTTTAAGTCCAGCAAAGCGAGTTGGAAGCACCTGCTTAGTAAAAAGTAAGCCTCAAAGCTTTGTTTCTAAAGCCCCAAGCAGAAGAAGCTCGATTTGATAAGATCCCGCGCCGATCCTCCAACGGTTTTTCAGCTGCTTTAGTATCCTTGGTTTTTTCGGGGTTTCATTGGATCGTTTTTTTGTTTTTTTTTGGGGGGAATGGCCGCACGGACGTTCACAATTACAGTTGGGGCGGCGACCGCCTGTGGCCAAGAGCGATTTTATTTGGAGATATTCGCCGGTGACAGGCGGCGCCCTATTTCGTTCATTTAATTTTCACCCTCGAAGTTTCAGATGCTCGGCAATGCACGCGCGCCTGCCGGGCCACAAAGTGCTGAAATTTGATTTTAAAAATCAATCTCAATTAAATAAAATTATGGCGCACTTGTGCAACGGCTGTCGCGGCATTGCGACCACTGGGCATGGATTGCGATGGCGTACATGATGAAAAACATAGTCAGACAGTGGTGTCGTATGTGAAAAAGCACCATTTTCGTGGGTGGCTGTGGGTGGTGGGGCGCGGCGCAGCTGCGAGAGAGAGACGGCGAGCCCTCTGTCGCGCCTGCGCAACCTGGTTGGTGGTGGAAACCAGTGGCGTACGAAGGGGGTTGTGTTTCGTAAATGAATTTCGACTTGCCACTTACTACAGCATTGAAAATAAGAGCTTCAAATATTAAAAAAAATAAAATGAAAAAAATCCCCCTTTCACTTTCCTCTGCACGCCACTGGTGGAACATATGTGGACGCCATTTGCGCGTGGTGAAAAGGTGAGTTGAGGTGAGAGAGTGAGCGAGTGGTGGGAAATACAAGATGTGAGCGTGGTGAGTTGAGGTGTAAACTCAATTTAAAATCTGAATTTTCTGCTATTTTCAAGATGAATAATCGAAACAAAAACTAACCAATAACTCAACTTAAAACTTAAAAGCGACTGCTGATTCTTCTAGAGAGTTGGTTTTGTGGGCTTTTTGTGTCTCTTCGGTTTTTCTCGTTTCTTTGCAATATTCATCAACCAATACCAATAATCATTTTAGCTAGCATTTCGCTATATTGGTAAGATCTTTGATATTAATTTAGTGCTTTTTGTATTGTGAGGAATCTATGGATGTGGAAGCTAGGGCCCACCATTGTCGGGCCATCGAAACGGTTTTTAATATTCTTGTTTTCGGTTTTGAAAAAACGCGCCTACGAGTAGTAAAAATTTACGATTGGCTTTCGGTATATTCATGAGCTGGTTGAGTGTTTTCTCTAAGTGCATCGCTAATTCTGTAACTGTATCGTATTTTCTGTATATATTTCGCTAACATTCAGTGAGTGTTTATTTTGTGTTTTTGTGTGTATTTTAATTGTTTTTGTTTAGTTTGTTTCTTTTTTCAATATATGCTACAGGTGTGGCTCTAGTGGAAGAGTTCTATGTGGTATCTGTTTTGGAAGAAAGTTAGTAAAAAGAGTCTTAAGATCAAACAGAGTTGTTAGGAGAGTGAGAGATAGTTAAACAGATAGAAAGATATACAGAGAGATATAGAGGAGATACAGAGAAAGAGAAATAGAGAGTATGTTGGCGCTGAGATAGATGTTGGAACTACAAAAAGTACTAAATTAAAATATGTTATTTTTGCACTACAAAATCCGTGTGTGTTTTTCTTTTTAGATTCATCGCCTGTTTTCGATTTATGTTTTTTGTTTAAACTTTGAAACGCATTAACCGTCAATCAATCAATCAAATACTGGTTATAAGAATATTGTCAACATTCACAAACCAAAATCGGTTAGATATTTGTGGTTAAAATATATAAGTTTATCTGTTATTGAACAAACCAACATACCAGGAAAGCAAGAAACCATACAAATCGAACTAAAAAACGAATGGTGTAAACATTGCATTGGGGATTTTCGCTAAGTGTAGGGGGTTTTTGTGGACGGGGGCAGGAAGGAGGGAGGGTGCTGGAGCGAGTGTGTGTGTGTACCACCAAGATAGGCCGGCTAAAATCCGAAATCCCATCCATCTACGAGCGAGGCAAGATCGAACTAAGAAAACGGTGCGCAACTGTACTTGAATTTTAGGATTTAGTTCATTATTTTTGGCTTGTGACTTACCTGGTATGCCCAAGCAACGAAATTAGTTCACATGCTTCCCGGTTGGACGGATATGGATATTCTATTATTTTTTTTAGTTATTTTCGTTAAGCATTTTGTTATCTAAAGCCAAGTCTAGGGGTAAATATTGTACAAATGCGTGGGCAAAAGTGCACGAATGTTGAAAAGTTGGTTAAGTGAGTAGCAAGTAGATAAAGCAAATTTAAGCTAAAAGTTAACGGCAAAAGTTGAGAGTAAATTTTGCTAGAGATATACGTATGGTAAAAATGGTTGTTTATTAGCCAATCTTCAATTATACAAATGAAAAGGTTTACGCTTAGAATACAAAACTTCAAGTCGAATACTCTAGACGAGATGATAATAATAACTATTAATTCATAATATTAATTCAAATTCCAAAAATGTAAATCATAAGCTATGTAAGCTATAAGTTCCGATTCGATTCGATTCGTTTTAAAACTATCACTAGCATGAATGAGAATTGATTCAATTTCAATTTCATAATGAGGGGTTCGGGTTGTTAACAGATCTTGGGTTCGGGCTGGGGATCGGAAGGGGGGATGGGGGTCTTCTACTTACAATCTAATTATCACTTGTTGAACATAAACCAAAGGGACCAGGGTGATCGGTACTTTATACAGTTTGGTGCTTGGTGGCAGGTTCTATGAGGCTAACTACACTAAGGTCGATAGGTCACCAAAGTTCGGTCTCATTGTTGCTTCGTTACGTGATATGATGCGTGGGATTTGTTTTTTTTTCTTTTGGGTCCAAGCGAGAACCGAGAATATAGCTTAATGGCTAAGATCTAGGATATAGAGTATTAACAACAAAGTAACGTTTTATGCATTATGGAGTTCTCTTCCGACTTTGGAATAAACAAGATGAGCAAATGTTCCACTTGGTCACTGCAAATACTTTCGGGATGATTTTGATTTCTTTCGGGGCTGGCTATATATACAGTGTGTCTGGGTGTCGAGTTATTCCAAGTTTACATATGAGTTGGACAAATGTTTAAAAGTAAGTCTATAAACGTATTAAAGTGTGAATCGATTACTGGCTTTGGTTTTTCGGCTTGTCCCTCTGGTCGGGGCATTTACAAATGTAAGTAACAACGAAATCAAAATAATCACTACGATTCCTACTTAAGCGCTACATGCTTCAGCTTTAGCATCAACAACATGCAATTCAAATACCGAGTTCGAGTACTGTGATTCGATTCGGAATCGGTTTTGATTCGATTCGATGCGATTCGATTCGATTCGATTAAACTCGCATCTGAAGAACTCTGTGCATCCAAAGCTCGCTTTAGTGTGTGTTTACTGTGTGTGATGTGATAGAGAAATAGAGAAGCCTTCTGTCTTTGGAAGCTTTGGTATGCATTCACATTCCTTGGATCGGGTTATCGAGCTTTCGCTGGGTGCTGATCAAAACTACTCGAAGTCCGTTCTGCGTTCTTCGCAAACTGTGCTCCAAAACAAATCAATCGTAACTGTTATCAAATACCGTAACGAAATCAAATCAAGCTACAAATCATACGCTTAGATAGAGAGGAAGAGAGATAGTGAGTTCGTGTAGGATTTTCTCTGGGTGTGTTTGTTGTATGTTCTATATGTTCTGTATGTTCTGAGTGTGTGGATTTCTGTGGATTTCTGTGGGTGAGCCTAACACTTTCTATCTGCTGAGCAATTGAGCAATTAGCCACGACACTGCCACTGCGATGGGTATGAGATGCAGCTGGCAACCGTTAGTATGTAAATTTTTACTAGAATTGCACATATCTTCCTCACAAAAGCACATATGTCCATTGCCTGAACTTTCCATCATGCACACGTGATCGACCATGAATAAATTGATCTGTAACTGTGACGTACACATGCGTCGCACCACCTCGTACGCTGAAAGAGAGAGCAAGAAAAGAGAGAAAGAGACGGGGACACACACACGCAAGGGTGTCGATCAGTCAGTTGAAGGATAATCAATGCGAAAATAGGGGATCTTTAGGTACAGTCGCGTGCAAGGTCCGGGGTACAGTTGTGTCGGGGTTGCTGAACACTCACGTGATCTCTGATGCCGCACCATTTTCACGCAGCAACCGTTGCAGGTCATCAAGGGGGGCTGATCCCTTGGCAGGGCAGTATAGTTGAAGGGATCCTGGATAAATACAACAAACTTTAGTCTTATAGTCCACCTCCATTGCTCTCTTCCCACCTTGCAGCGGGCATCTGTCCAGGAGTCGCACTCATAGCAGTAAATCGATCGCGCTATATGAAAAGATATCTCGTTATTATCAATTTCTCAATACGCTACTCTTCTCTGCTGATCTTCAGATTATTTTGAGGTTAGGTTAGCTACGGTACAGTAACGTTAAAACGTGCAACAAAAGCATTCCAAGGGTTGCCAACACAAACAAACATCAGGCGGTAAACATTTATCGATATCAGTTTTCAAAATAACAAGTGATTTGTTGCGATTCTTTTGAATTGGGTGTGTGGTATTTTTGAATTTAGGGGTAGCTAATGTTTCGTAAAATATTTAATAAAGTTTTTCTAACCTACAGTTGCAAAGAAAAATTAACAGAACAGAAAATCACATTTATGTTGAAGGATTTACTGGGGATGCCTTTGATGGAAAAGTGTCCTTTTAAACCATGCACTCACACTCCATAGTCTTACACCACATACAGACACACCAAATAACTAGGATAAAATATCGGTTTTCCGGATATAGTTTGTTTCAGAGCTGTTTTCCTAAAACTCGCATCCTTAACTTAAAGAAAATATTCTAAACAAAACTAAAAAAGGTAATCGAATTATTCTTATTTATTAAACTTGTTGTATTATTTATCTTTAATATTATTTTTTTTAGTTCCGAAACGAACTTTACCGCAGAAATACACCTGATTTAATGGATTTCCAAAGGATAGTTGAAAGGAATTAAATCAAACAAAAATGGAAGGAAAGTCAAAAAGCTTTGGTGCAACAAAACTATTGAAAAAAGTGCAACGGAAAGAAAAGTAAAGTTAGGAAAGAGTTTAAAGGGGATGCCCCAAAGAACTGAACATTGGATATTGGTGGCAAAGCTTTAGGAATGAGCGAAATAGCTCCGATCTTTCGGTCGATCGGGCTTCGAATGCGAAAACGAAAAGATCTTAAGTAACATTGATAATCCAAAAATATTCCTTATTCATGGCGAACTCGAAATAAACCGATTCGAGTTTGTTAGAAATAGATTATACATATACTTATGCATGACTCATATTTTCTTATATTTTGGCAAAAAGGTAATCGATAGGTTTAAGCAAACGGTTTCTGGTTTGGAAAGACAATGGACTCATACTTTGACATTCGGCTGAGGTCTGCGGAATCCATATGAAAGTTAGAAATCCGATAAAGGCTGCAAATAAATAATGGAAGAGAGAGAGCAAAGTAGAAGTGGGCAGTAGAAGGAGCAGGAACCAAAGATACAAAATCAAAGGGGCTTCGGGAAGTGGGCAGATAAGGCTCCTTGGCAGGTACAGTTGACCTCTCAGCTTGTTCCGATTCCGCATTCCCTCGGGTCAAGCACAACTGTATCTGCCATTGAGTTATCGGCTGATTTCGGGCAGGGTTTTTAGTTTGAGGAGAAAATAGAGTTGGTGGGTGGAATGTCGACACTCTACACTCGCCGCGGCGGGTATTATGTTAGTACTCTCGATATTCTGTGCACTCAGTGTTCGAATGCCATTCGTTTTCACCGCCTACAAGAAAATATTACCAGGGTGACAGTGTTGTAAAAGGCACAGAGAAAAAACATTTTGTACAAATTACGTTTACATTTTGGTGTGAACTTCACTGCAACTCAAGACGCATACGTGTTGTTGTTGGATGTGACCAGGAATATGCAATATATATGGTATATGGGTAGATAGAATGTATAGAGTACAGACAGCTGCTTACAGTCGATATATAACGGCATTTACAATCAACGGCACGTACGAAACGAAACCAATAATGAAAACCAAACCAAACTCAAATCGAACGCAACAATTGCTTTTCACGTTTTTACAGGGGATTATTTTTCTTTTTTTTTGGATTAGTACAAAAACTGAAGGTAATTTTGTTCAAATCGAATGGGGAAATCATACGCAAAATGAAACTTACTTGGAAAACAATTATCGGTGGTAGCGAATTTTGCCAATGCCAAAAAAACTATATATTATTTTAGTTACCGATGAAAAATGAAAAATAAAAATAATGTAAAATATGTTTTCAATCAAATTCAATCGAATTATGAAAGGCTTAGCAGCTAGCAAGGCAAATGAAAATCAATCATCTCGGTGCCTATCTATACAATTTCGATTCGATCGATCAGCTTGCACTTAAATTGAATTCTCCTAACAACTCATTCACATTTATTCGGTTCTTCTTGTTGGTCTTTGCATAATAACATTTTTCATAGATGTTTATAAAAGTGTCAGATGAAAACATCACGAAGGATTTCAATTTCAGTTTCCTAAGTGAATGGAATACGAATTTATTGTTCATGACTTTGATTCAAATTCTCATTTGGCCTACAACATATCCCTGTGTCAGCTTTATTACTAAGAAATCTAATAAACTTGTGTGTACACAAGTTCCGAGTCAATTCTTTGATCTGTGTGAGAATAAAATTTGATGGTCCATAAAGCAGCGGGCATTTATGCCGGCTCTTCAGTTTATTGTTTCCGCTTCTGTTTATCATTCAATTCGATATGGTGTTGACCTTTGTTCATTATTAGTTTGATGATTATTTCTCTGGCTATGTCTATGTGTTTGCTTGATGTCTGTGGTGATGGATGAGTGAAGGGATTACCTGTTAGGACCAACAGCCAATTGCCGACTGCATTTCTCTGCGTCCACATCTTGCTCGGTTTTCCGGCTTTCCACCCACCTGAAAAGCATATATTTTGGTCTACTGTTTGTATGGCTTAAATTGGCAAAGGAACTTACTTAAAGTGGGCCTAATTTAACTGAGTTTTTTCGTTCAACAGTCTGCTAATGGCACTCAGATCCTGTTCCTGCAGCGAAGCATTGTGCTGCCGTCACTAAAAGTTTCGAAATATTATTATACAAAAATTAATTTCCTTTAGACCATAAACTATAATGATTAATTATGGAACACTAACATACTATATTAATAGGAATATCAACAGAAATCCTCAGTGATTATATTTGATTTCAATAGGTTTTTAACAAATTCCAGCAAGTTTCCCCCTTAAAATCCCTTGTGATTTCCCACAATAGAATTGGAGGCACAAAAATTAACACTTTCCGAAATAACGACCGACTCTGGTTTCCCAACTTTTATGGCGCGTTAATGGTGCACATGGGCGAGGGTCGACCAAAGAGTTCGGCATGATAATGATTTGTGGCTCTCGAATTTATGGCGACACTTTAAGTTCCCTAGCACAGCCTCAAATGCGTACGTCAATATGACAGTATAAATACATGCATGGTATATGTATAGATGGTACCGATATAGGTGGATCAAAAACATGGCTCTAAAAATAGAGCCACCCAACCTCTAATAAGTGTTCTAGGTCAATCGGTGTGAATGGTGGTGTGTGTTTTTTTTTTCTTTCGGAGGGTGAGTTCAAGTCATGGCTGCTGCTGATGTCAATAGTTCTTCTTGGTTCTTTGGTCCCCTGTGATTGACCGGCTGTTGGAACGCCAGCCATCAGTATCATATCATTCGGTTTTCACATTTCACATTTCACACTCTGGTCTGCATTTTACACATTTTCTGCGTTTGCTTTTGCTGAATTTATTGTGGCATTTTTTGCATTGAACTTTGGCAAAGTGTCAAAATAACGCGAGGGCGGGCGCAAAGAAAGGCGAGGGGAACGGCAGACAGAACTATTTATATTTATATGTATGCCACTGCTAAGAATATTCTTAAAGCGCGTAGAAATCAATGGGGATGACTGGACTGTAAGCTACCCCTTGAAAGTGTTTATTCAAAAATTATTTTTATCGATAAAAGATGGGGAATTTTTTAATCTAATAAATATTAAACCATTAATTGACTGCTACGGATTCGATATGGGATTTTAAAAATTGCATTTTTTTAAGTAAACAATGCAATATTTTGATAGCGAAACATTAAGAATTTATGTAGTTTTTATAAAAAAAATTTAATTGCTAACAATCTATTAATATATTATGAATATTTATTTCCTAACCCCTGATCCTTAAACCAACATACCCCTCAAGATCGATCTCTCAATCTTTTCAGGTTAAGGTTTCAGCTTGGCACTACTTTATTTAGAGCAATTTTCCGCCAATATTGAAGACTCTCCACTGGGGTAAAGACTTGTGACCATCATCCTGCACCACTGCTGCATAAGTGGGTCAAAATGTGGTTCAGTGTCCTCCTGCCGTTCAACAAGTGTTCGCAATGCCGCCGTTTTGGCGATGATTATGGCTGCCGATCGCATTTCATTGGCCGTTCATCAAATTTTAATGGCTCTAACGAGCTAATTGCATAGTGGGTCAGAGCCCAAAGCCCACGGAACACAGACCAGAATGTAAACAACGCCCATAGTTTGATTTTGCGCTTAGTATCGCCCCTTTAAAACAATTAATTACTCGCCTGTTGTCCCCGTTACTGGCTAACTGAAATTGAATTTTCGACCATGTTTTGCTGCCTGCTTTTCGTTGGCCTAGACACACGCGAGTATTGATTTTGTGTGGCTCTGTTTACGCGACGCTGCAGCTTCTCCACTTTTCCCAGCCACTTTCCACTTTTCACTTTTCCTCGCCTCTCCTCACACTTTTCCGGGTCGGTTGTTGGGCCGTTGTTTCATAATATGTTCCCGATTCTCGAATCGATTGGCCAGCTTAACTCGGCCAACCTGGGTTTCAGCCTTCTCTGGGGTCTACTGCAATTTGCATTCGACCCTCGCTGTGGTCTCGGTCGCTTTTCCGTCGATTGGGTGACTTTTCCTCCACTGTTTTCCTATTGATTTCGCTTTTCGCTCACAACACTTTGGTGCATCACTTTGCCTTGATTTTCAACTGGCTTTTCAATTAACCGCGTGCACTGGCCAATTGTTTAATTCACCAATTCGAATAATTTATCAATTGTTTCACGATTATTTGTGGGCAATTTCAGCCCGTTGCCGTTTTTTATTCTTAATTTTGTAATTTATTCAGCAGGTCACACGCAACGACATTGACAACGACGGAGACGACTGCGGATTTTCCGATTTTCCCTTAACGCTTTTGACAGTTTTGGCGCATGACGCTTTTGTCGTATGCTGCGCGGCAGCTTTTCCGCATACCAAGTGTTGGAAAATTGGCTACGGAAAAGCTCAGAGCATAAGCTTTAGCTTGGCGCACTTTTTGAGGGTGGAAAATTAAAGAAAACTTGATCCAGTAATCAAAAATAAAAGGTAAATTAATAAATTAATAAATTAAAAATTAAATTATTTTAATATACCAAATCAAAGCGATTCATTTAAAAAGCTCATAGATTTCGGAAAAGTATAACTACAATTTTTTGTGAAGTACCTATTGAAATGTAGAATGAACAATAATGAAATTCAAGCGTGAAAGCAGCCGATTTGATGAATGCATATCTCCATTTTTCTTGCACTTCATTTAGCTATTTAACGGGTATCTGATAGTCGAGGTACTCGACTGTGGGGTTCTTTCTAGTTTTATTTTATAATGCTACAAAATATTTCCAAATTTACTTCCCTCCATTTCAGTTAATGTTTTCCACTTTATTGTGAACGCTTGAGAGTACAAGTAATTTATTTTGTAGTTTGCATTTTAGGGCAGCTTACACATTTAAATATTAGTTATTAAAAAATGATTTTTTTTTTCATGAATAAATACATAAATACACACGAACGGAAGAGTACACGACATAAGTATGATAGACACTGAAATGAATGGATACATCGAACAAATCTCCCTCTATCTCTAGATTCGAGTCGCTGATGATCCCTTAGTTTTAAGCATAGTCGCGTTCTCCCTCCAATTTGCGCATCTGCAAGTTATGAAAATATAATAGTACACAAATTAGTTGGGTAAATTAGGCAGGGATGCAAACCGATCGAATTTGTGGACGGGTTCGGTTGAAAGGATTGAAGAAGATCTAAACCAATGGGTTCGGTTCTCAAAAGTGGATTGCTTTAAGTTTGGATGGCGGGTTGCGATAGCTTTAGTATACGAATATCTGCTGCTAAAGCGATAAAAATATATACATTTAAATAGTTACAGATAAATGAGATACAAAACGAGTGGTTCGTGTTGCGATTCGGTTTGCATCCCTGAAATCGAGTAAGTTGGGGTATTTACAATGCAAGTGTGTGTGTTTTTGTGAGAGGTGAGTGAGTTTTGAGTGTGATAAGTGGGTGTGTAATGAGTGGGTGTGATCAGTAGAAGGACTCCTCGCTCCAGGCGCTTATCAACCTGACTCTCACCTCGCGTTCATCGGCGTGCGTTCGGTACTTCTCGGAGGCCTCGTTCGCCTTCGGGGCGGGTTTCGCCTCCAGAACCTGGGTATAGAGCAGGGCTGCTGCCACGCCCCCCAGCACGGGTCCCACCCAGTACACCCAATGCGAGGTCCAGATATCGGTGGCAAAGGCAGTGCCCACAGTGCGGGCGGGATTCATGCTGGCACCCGTGTATCGAATCGTGCCCAAGTGACCCAAGGTCACAGCCATTCCAATGGCCAGGGGCGCCGTGTAACGGGAGTCGGGCTTGTGGGGATCGCAGGCCCCAAATACAACGAGAACCAGCAGGAGTCCCAGGAAGAACTCAATTCCCAGGCCCTGCATTTCTGAGATATTCGGCGCCAGAGAGGTGTGACCCAAGCCATTATGGTAGTCCTGATCGAGGAGTATCTAGAGGATATAATCGAATTTTTTAATAAGTATTAAAACTATTAAGAGTTTCCTTAATCCTAAATATACTTGTGTTATAAATAGGATTATAAGTGAATTAATTCCAGAGATACTTTAATGTTATTTTAAATGTTTTTAAGAATAGTAATTGGTTGTAAGCTTAATCAAATATTGATTTTATACTGAAAATTGGCAACCAGTAATATATTCAAGATCATTTATATATTTAAAATATAATTTAAACAATCCGACTTCTAGTTATGACTATTAGCTTATGACTATTTTTTAAGATCTCGTACTGAACATTTCACTGAATCATATATTGCATACCAAATAATAAATAAATAGTTTAATATATTTTGTTGACAAAACTGTAGCTATTTGAATCCAATTTAAATGTTATTTGTTATTTCGGTTGAATCAGTACATAACACAATAAAATATAATTAAATAAAAGACAACAATTTTTTGACAAGTTTGGTTGTGTACTTAAAAATTATCAACGGGTTAACTTCATACGCTCTTTACATTGCCGTAAAGATTATTTTATGAACTCATTGAAGGCAATTGTCAAAATACCAGACACTTTTAAAACCACAACCGGATGTGGGACAATCAAAACCACTAAGAGATAAATGATTCAGTGTTGTTTCTCGGTGTTTTTCAAGTGAGCGAGATTAGCCTCAAGGCACAACGAACAAACAAGAACAAGAGATCAGTACAATTTTTTGCAAAATTAAAAACATAAATTTACCATGTTCCTTATTAAATTAAATTTTTCGACAAATTTTTGTTTTATAATTTCTCACCTTAACAGCTGCAGTTCCAGCGATGGCACCCAGGCACTGGAAAATTACATAGAAGAAGGCCCTGATCAAGCTGATTCGTCCTGCAACCAACATTCCAGCGGTGACTGCAGGATTTACATGTCCTCCACTCAAGTGGCCCACAATCTGCAGGGGATTACGATTAATTTAGTAAGAATGATGTTGTAATTTAAAGAATATCTCACCGTGATGGCCATGAAGATGGCCAGGCCAAAAGCCAGGGCCTTGAAGGTACCATCCTCAATTTGAGTGCATGCACCGCAGGCAAAGAAATTGAGGATCAGATTACCCAGGAATTCTCCAATCAGGGCCTGCCACAATCGCAGCTCCTTCGATTTGAGCTTGGATAAAAAATTAAAAATAAATAAAAAGTATACAATTGTATTTATTAACCTACCTCATTGAGACCCAGTGAATACTCGAACTTTCCCATCTTCTTCGCTTAGCTTTCCAATTGAAACTGGCGAACTGAAAAAAGCACAAGGAAAAATCAGTCGGCGATGTCTGGCAGTTAATGCAAATCGCAGTCCAAGTTGTAAATGGAAATGTGCTTGAAATTGGATGTGGACAATTGTCGGACATGAGCAGGTATTTAACCACCACTTTTTTCACTCATTTAAGGAGCGATATTGTTTTGGCCTTTGGCGACAGTTTGACTATCTGCATTTCCGCTGCAATTGTCTTGGTGCCTAATTGGTTGACACTTTTGTCTGGTACTCAATTAAAATAGTCACAGTTTTTTATCAGTAAGAATGCAGGCTAAAAAAGATTTTATGGTACATAAATTTTAAATATATCTAAAATAATAACACTGTGCAGCATTTTTAGTGCTTTTTAAATTTACCTCGATGGATGCTATATTTTTGTTTATTTTGAATTCCCAAGTTAAACTGCGTTTTCAAAAAAGTTCCCCCAACAAAAGGTTCTCAGCAAAGGACCTCGAAGTTCGAAAAATGCTGAAATTGGCCACTTTGCGGAGCTCTCGGAGGCAAATGGATGCATGGTTTGATTCGATGTTAAAGTTTTTAAAGATACACCCTTTATCTTTTAAGCCCCATACTTAAAAAATTTTTAAGATTTTTTTAAGGCAGAAACAAATTCTAGAAAACATAGTCAAAAAACATAAAAGTATACAGCAGCGGTCAAAATGGTAGTAGTGTTGCCGCCCTGTGTATTTAAAAGTTTGTTGTTGTAATTGATCTTTTCCTGGTAATATTGTATTGATTATAATTTTACTATTAGACTAATTGGATAAGAAAAATTACAACATCAAACTTTTTAAAAACACAAGGCGGCAACACTGCTACTATTTTGACCGCAGATGTTTTTCAGTTTTTTGACTATGTTTTTTGAATTTATTTCTGCCTTAAAAAAATCCTAAAATTATTTTATGTATGGGGTTTGAAAGATAAAGGGTGTATCTTTTAAAAACTTTAACTTCGAACCAAGCCATGCATCCATTTGCCTGTCCGCAAAGTTGGTCAATTTCAGATTTTTCGAACTTTGAGGTCCTTTTGCTAAGAATCCTTGCGTCGGGGAACTCTTTGGAAAACGCAGTTTAACTTGGGAATTCGTAACGAATCCAAAAATATAGCATTCATCGAGGTTAATTTTTGATGCTGCATAGTGTAATCAAAATAAAATAAAAACAAAATATAATAATAGGTAACTCAGGCAGCCCAAAATATTGTTTAGCTCAATCTTCATTTAAATATTTTATTTCCAGCTGTGAAGGAATGTTTGTGTGCTTTACTTAACCCATTGTCGTTGTGTCAAAAGTGGGTAATTAGGGGCACCCTTTAGACACCGAACCCCCTAACTCCATGAAACCTATCATCTTATCGGCTAACGCAGCTGCATGTGAGAATATATCAGAGCAAACAAAATGTATAATATTTAATTGGCAACGAGTCATAAAAGTGCGGTAAATATTTGAGCGCAACACCGTCAGAAGTGAACAGCACTCGAGAATGAGAAGTTGAGAGTGTTTAACCGGGGGTTAAGGGGGCCTCAGGGGGTTAACCCGCCGCGAGGGGATTAGGCCTGTTTTTTTATAGAGTGGAATCAGTGGAAACTGTTTGTTTTGCTGTTCTTATTTGGCGCAATGCGGTCACGAACAGTCCCAAAAATGGGCTAAGACTTGTTGACCATGCCCCCACATAAAATCTCAAGAGCTTTACAAATATATAAAGACATATGTATATATATATATACCATATAGCATATGGGCACTTCCAAAAAAAAGTCCACCAAGCCAAAAACCTTGAAACTTGAATAAAACATATTTCCACATGATTTTGCCCCGATATTAGTTTCTAATTAGTTGGATACTGAGCTTAACTACAAATTTGGAGTATAGTTTGATTATTTTTATGACAAACCCCACCAATATACACCAAAATCAGTTTTTGGCCATTTTTTTGTTATTTTTTGGACCTGTCTTCTGTTGTTAATTTATCCTATAGGAATGCTAATATGTGACATTTTTCTGTACTGAATGCTTCATTCTCATGCTAAACTATTAGGTTAAAAGCAAAACATCCAGCAATTGAGAGTTAGAGGTAAAGAAATCCGCTTTACAAAACAGTCGGAAAAAATGTCCCGAGCGACATGTCCCGAGCGAATGTGGTTGAAACTGCATAAAAAATAAACGGCAAAGAATTTTTGAGTAAAACCAAAAGCATTTCACAGCGACATGTTTGAACAACATTCTAAAAAAAAATCGCATTCAAATATTCCATCAGAATTCGCTAATTTCTGGTGTTGTATGAACTTCCCCGAAATCCACTTCTATTTTTGTCCCGAGCGAATACGGCAGTTTTTTAACGATATCTTAAAAACTAAAAGTGGTACAAAATCAAGATTTTTACAAAAAATAGAGCTTGGGAAGAGTGAAAAGAAAAGCCCATAATTAAAATTAAAATCCATTGTTTTGCAATTTTTTTTCAACTTTAAAGGTGTGCAAATGTCCCGAGCGACATTTTGGAAGTGCCCATATTCCATTTGTAATTTGTCTATGCCATCAATCAGCGACTGGACTGCTAATTTCCATTTTCTATGCTCAGAAAATATTCAAGTTATTCATCACTCTTTGTATTTAGTTTTCTAATGCAATCTTAATGAATTTCGTGTTTTATTTGCGTCATCTATGGGCCCCCTATCGATATCAGGCAATAGACTCGAGTGCTTTGATATGGAAACGCCGGTTCTATTCCTTAATTGAGAAGCAGAGGAAAAGTGTGCTGGATGAGCAGATAGTAATTGAATTGACTTAAGGTTGGGCCCGCGGATAAGTGGAATACCTTGTAATAGAGCTAATAGAGCAGAGATACCATCCCACACAAGCGCTGCCATTGATTGGAATGTCAAGAAAAATGGGCAAAACCGGGAAACTTTAAATATTTGTCATCGCCCGTTAATCATCCATTGTGAAAACTGATTCAACAATTTAGCGTGTAATTCTAATCTTAATTAGTTTCCATGAAATATTATTTTAATTGGCCAACAACTAACTGGCATTCCATAGTTCAGATTCACAGGTGGCGATTCTCTTTTTCGAGGCTAATTAAAAATACCTATCGCTGAACTAAAAGGTGTAGAACAACAATGTTATGGGGGCCCCAAAGGAAAAATCTAAACAATTAATCGGCTCTGATTAAAGTTTGCTTTGCAATTATTTTGGGCGGCTATTTATGGACGATAAGCTGGCTTTATAATTGGAAACCCAATACTTTTTTCTACCCAATTGTGGAATTTTCAATAGCGCGCTAATAACCGAATTGGCAGCGTATGAGTGTGTCCGTGCCAATTCGCATATTATCCGAACAATAAAGTAAAAGTTTGCTCAACAAAGTAGCACAAACGGCGAGAACAAAACACACAAAATTCACACATATTTTCGCACACCCAACAAAGTAGAATGCATTTCAACGCATTTCGAGCTGATTTTCGTCATCCGAGATATTTTTGTGGCTTTCGAAACGTGTATTAACGGCGGGTTCATGAACTTGAACTCAAACGGAATTGAACCGCAAGGCGGCCAAAAATGTGTTCCAATAAAATTTAATTATATGCAAATAATGAAGAATGTCGTTTGGGAAAAGTGGCAACACACAAAGACATTCGTCATTAATTAAAAACATCCAGATAACAAGAATATAAATCTTGCGTTGATGAAACTGGTGAGGTAATGTCGTTGCTTTTGTTTTTGATGTATTTTTTAATTGACTCTAAAGGCAAGTAAATAAATTATGTGACCATTTTCAAAGTGATTTTAATCTATGGCCATTTTGAGTAGCATTTATTGACGACCAAGTTATTACTATAATGGGACATATTAGAATTAGTTGTAAAGCAGTCACATGATTTTTACATGTTTGAATATATTTATAATTTTTTAATATTTTGTTTATAGTTAGAATATTATAGCTGTAGAATATTAAGCTATATGTAATAGTAGTTAGTTTCATTAACTAAGAATGTTGTAAATTTTAAATACCTAAAGACAATTGAAAATTGTTTGAAAAACCTCCTTACTTCAGTTAATGTTTTCCTGTAGTTATTTTTACTTCTTTTAACTGTTAAATACGATCTAGCCTAGCCTTAATTGCGTACGTCTGCTGATGGCATTTGGCGATATAGACGTTTGCAATTGTTTGCCGCAACTTTGTCACTTAAAAAGCCATAAAACTTACTTAAGCTCTGAATTTGTATGCATCGCCGAACGTGGGAGGAGCGGGAGTGATAAAAGGGGGGAAAGTACAGCAGCAATTGCAGAGTTAGTGCCCAAAACTCCCACACGTGTTCGGGGCTACAGTGAAGCCCGGTTAATGGCAAAAGGGGCCACTCCAATTACCGAATCAGAGACCAGAAAATTGCCTTGGTCAACCCATCAATCACAGGTGTCAGATATGAAACTGAACTGAATGCCCCCAAGCTCTGTAAGTCCCATTACCATATCATCGGATCATGGCATTGCCGTACCTAATTAACCACACAATACAAAAACATATAGAAGTCTTGAAAGCTTAAACAGATCGCACGACCGCATCATTTCACGCAACGCTGGTTTCAAAATTAAAAGCACAATAGAATAACAAAATGTTCTGGTGAAATTTTTAAATATATTTTGGCAAGAGTCTTATTCTATATCCGCTTTTAATTACTCGAAATCGCCCTGGCGGACAGAAGTAAAAATTCTACATAAATTGTTATATTTTTACGATTGACATACGCGAGGGCATTCTCGCCAATTTGTTTATCTCGTTTTATGAGAGAAATCAGACCAAAAACAGATCAAAGTAGATTTGACAAAATATGAGCCGGGGGTAGAAAAAATGCAAAACGGTATTACAACATTAGTTTCGGTTCACTGTGAGAAAATGTAAAACATTTTGATAGATAATTAACGATGAACTTTTTTAATCAAATAAAAATTAAAGAAAAATGCGGGATAAGTTCTGTAGCTCAGTTTAGTCTAATAATATTTGTTGTACATTTTTATTTAAAACATTTTTGTTTTATTTTCTTATTAAATTAAATTAAGTAAATTTGAAACGAGAATAGGAATTAGAGAACAAATTTAATAAAGTAAACAATAAATTAAAAAAATCCAAAATAAAAATATATTTTACTGCTGTGGTCAAAATAAAATTAATTTAAAAAAGAATTTATAAAAAAAAGTGTTATGCCTTTTACAATTTAAAAATTAATTGTTAGGTGTAAATCAAAAAATGTTATTTGTTTTTAATTATGATCACTTTCAATTAGAAGTTTACCTTGTTTTGTTATTAGCCCACTTTTGCACCTTTGCACCTGCTTATGAACTTGGCTTTGCGGCAACAACAACTAACACCTAAACATGCACTTAACAAATATTTTATTTAATTTGGCAGGAATATAAGTTCGCTCCTCGAGCGATCCGCGCACTTTAACTCGACGATAAATACTGCGCGACGCTTTTGGCAGCGAAAAACCAAAGCCCCAAAGTCAAAGGCGCAGAGAGCTCCATGTTAAAAAATTAAAAACGAGAGAGGGATTTTTTTCGGAGCAGCAAAGAGAAGAATTCTAGAATGCTTACGAGAGCGCGGGCGCAACGATTAAAACGGACGATTTAAATGTACGATTATCTTGAAAATTAATAAATGACAAAAACACAACAAACCAAACACTAAAACCCACCACACTTGTTGCGGATCAGCCAAGACACAAACCCTGCGTACACAGTGGTAAAATCGAAATTGCCACCAACAATAATCGTCTATCTGAAGGCAATTGAAGATAATTTATGGACTGCAAATAGTTATTTAAAAGGGTAATATTTATCCCACCCATCATCCACGTCAGACAGTGACGCTTGCAGAAAAGTTTCCATCGCTTTTCGGTATTCTTATCACCCAAATCGGCCCAGAAATCATGTCTTTCGCAAACAATTTCTTTAATTAATTTACTGTATGCCGACCGGGGAACACTGAACTTTTCCATGAAATATTGACGCAAAATCAAATTCTCTTTATCTTTACAGGTGTTGTATTGTATTTGTATTTGCCTTTTCAAATTAATATCACCAGAAAATGCAATTCATAAATCCAAGCACACTTTTATGGCTTGGAGCTAAATGTAAAATACAGTGTAAAATGTAAATATACGATCCAAACGATCGTAAATAGCAATTGCCTTTCAACCACTTTATCGTGAATAAAAATAAAATTAAAAAGTAGTCATAGGAAAGTAAATTTGTTGTAGAATAACAATTCTACTTTTTCGTGTTAAGATAATTTTTAAAACATGGTATTTCATGATATTTATTAAAAATTAAGCTCAATAAGTAAAAAGATAAAGTTTAAAGCCCTTTTATTGTCAAGTAGATGGTGGTAAAACTAGAGCCTCACCTATGCTTACGCCAATTGGACGAAAACGTTTTGATATCTTGAAATTCTTTATCTTATATTATTCACCATAATAAGAGAGGGGGTTTTCTCCGAGTCCATTTTTAATTCCGGCAATGCAAAAAAATTAAGGCAATTTAAAAAATATTTTTCTTCAAAAATTAATTCACGATGCGTCATGTATTTTTAATCAGAGCTATGGTGATTCCTTAAATGTTTGTTTCTTTTGACTATCTAATAATTGTGGTTTAAAGTAAAAACAGGAATTAGCAAGTGATTAATTTACATAATGACGAGTTTTTTTATTAAGCCTGTGCATAAATCATGCCGACTGACTTCCATAAAATTATGACAGACCAATCCCTGCCACTACTTGCTTTAGATAAAGATCTTTTCTAATTTACATAGGTGGAAACAGAATACTACAATGCTGGAACAAAAAGGAAAATCCAGTCCCCTTTTCATTTGAATGGAAATATATGAACCAGTCGACTCCTCCTGACACTTGACTCTTGACACCTGACCAATGCCCACTTTTCAGCCGCAGCACAATAGTTCTCCGATGACCTTGGCCCGACATTGCGCCCATTTGCATATGGCCCGTAATCCAGTGGAAGGGCTGGGCTTTTTTGCTTATTTTTTCTGCCGGCAAGGAGCCTCGCTGTGAAATATGGAAAAGCAAAGTAATTGTGTCCTGACTGGCGAAATAATAAATTAGAATTGTCCGGTCATAGCGCCCCCAAGTGGGAAGCCATTAATTAAATCAGACATAGCTGGAATTTAAAGCTGGCAGTCGCAAAGTGACGTGATCTGGGAAATGGGATCCTTGCAGAGGGATAGTTCCAATTGCGTTGTATTTTAATTTAATTGTTTTGGCTTTTATTTTAATTATTAAAAAATAGGGACTATTATAAAGGAGTCAGTATTTTTTGAGGATTTATAATTAAGCTGTCTGTATTTTAATCTCTTTTTGTCTTTCCCAAAAAGTTACATTTTGTATAATCTTATCAGAAATTCTTTTAAACACTTGTTTTACGTCATGTTAAAATGTTTACTGATAAATCCCGCTTGTATTATCGGATTAGCCACTTCCGCGCCTATAAAGAAGGTTGCTGATATGCCAGAACTCGATTAAAAGCAGTGCATTAACTCTGCCCGGGAACAATTAATTTAGTTCAACACTATACGAATTTTAAATAGGGTTCTGATTTTTGTTTTCGAGAGCGGAAGCTTAACTAATTCGCAAAGGCAACAAGCTAATTTAGTTTTATTCTGTAGAATATCCGATTCAAGTGAGCTTTGATTACCAAAATTGATTGCAAAAAATAAAACTTGAAACATCTGCGACGGCTTATCAGCATCGGAAATAAGCAAATTTTCATCAATTGCCATTTTTTATGTGCCCATTACCGTTCTCCATCTTAATGGGCTCTCGATATATAACACGTACGCCATAAGTCAACAGCGGCCGTGCCTAACTTCATCGCAAAAAAAAAAAAAAAAAACTACAAAATAGAAAACAAAACAAATCGCTAAGCTGCGACAAAAAAAGTACGTTCTTGATGAATTTTTATTTTTATATAAAACAAAAGCCAGTCCGAGAACAAAAACCGAAGAAGTTGGGTAAACACAAATGGCAAAAAGTGTACAAGTACGACCAAGTGCTTGTGTCAATCAATATTGGAGTGCTGCGAACTTGTGAGCCTGGACAAGAGATGGGAACAGCGAAGTAGTGCCTTTTATTTATGGTTAATTACCTGCAATTTTCGGCCCGGCACGCGCTTCAGCATCGCTCATACGCCGTGTGTACCGGCTACAGGAAGTGAGTATACGCCTCGTGGGCCAGAATTAACCTTAACATTTGGCTCGGGGAGAATGCGAGGCGTAGATCTGTGATCCATGACCAGAATTATTCGGTCGAGATGCCCGCATAAGATTCGTTTCTGCGAAAGCTCTTGGAAATATATTTCCCACGGCGCATGCGTGAAGACAACTTGAAGACAAAAGCAATAACAACGACAACCAGAGGTTAGTCATGGCTGCAAAAATATGATGGAGTTTCGAGATGGAGATGAAGGAGAGGCAAGGCGAAGCGACAAGCGACTGAAAATGTGCAAAACAAATAGCTCAACAACAATTCAAAATTTCGAATTGGACTTGGACGAGGCTTGCCAAAAAAAAAACAATAACGAGAACCGCAAGACCAGACACAATAAAAGCAAACGCCAACAGCCCCAAGCAGCGGCCTTATTGAAACATAATGTGTGATATAGGTACAGAGGGTATTGGCTAAAACAAATTCATTTTTAGGTCGTATAATGATATTTACTGGGATTTAATGAGTTATAACTAAAGTTTTTTCTCTAGAGGTACTAATATCTCCTCTCTTAGCTTTAATTTAGAGATCATATCGTTAGTATTAAAACAAATAAAAAAATATTTTAAATATTATTTGATTAGAAGATAAAGAGAGAAAGTATATATATAAAATTTAAAATATTAAATCTTTAAATATTTTGTAGAACTATTTGTTCACTGTACTTAAAATTAGGTAACATACATCATATCCGAGCAAGCCATAATCAGAGCGCCGGGTAAAATTTGCATAGACCATAGTCGCGCATCTCAAGACTCACGCTTTTACAGCGACCACTAACCAAGATTGATGAAGTGTCAAACGCCGGAGATAGAGCATCGCGGACTGGAAAAAATAGAAAAAATAAGGTGGAGAGGGGGTGGGCCGCGACATTGACCTTTATTCGATTTTTGGCTGCTGCTCGGGCAAAATCAATCACAGGCGAAAAACAAACAGGCACACGCTCCTACTTTTTGCCACCTGATTGAACCAATTTCGGGGCATTTAATTTTCTACCGACTCATTGGCGGTTATTGTGCGCCCGAAATTCATTACAATTCGTTTATTAGCCGCCCCCATAAGCATACAAAATATTAGTGATTCGATTCGAGATTATTATCGTTTCTCTCTGTGTGCGCTTACACACTTATTTGGCTTTGTTTTCTTTTTTTCTTTATATTTATCATTTTCTTCTTCTTGTTCAGTCCACTTGGCGATCGCCCGTCATTTTCAGTTACAATTGCAAATGTTTCAATGTCACTGGAGTCCGCTTACGGTTATTATTGTTACCGTATTTTGAATTGTTTTCGTAGCATCACCAGATCCAAGTGCAGAGAAAACAGATAATTGCAGAAAACAAAATTAAATTCAATTTGGTTTTGGTAATTGCAACTACCACTTGCATGGGTTTTACTAAAATTTTATCCGCTTCATTGGGGAAAACCATTTGGCTAGCTATAAACATTTTCCCGTTTTTATTTTTGTTCCGCTTTTACATGTATGATATAAGGGTCCTAAACCCCATTTAATTTCTTTGAAATTCATAAATACAAATTTTAATATATAATTTTTTTTTCAGAAAAAATAATTCCAATTTATCAATCTTAATAAGGATAAATTGTAATTATTATTCTCGCACATATTCTTATTTCTTCATAATTATTAATCTCACTCTAATTTGATGATTTCAACTATCTCCCTCTTACTGTAGCGAACAAATTACAGTTTAATTGGTTTTCTTTGAAGAAGCTTATGGGAGTTACTTTGTTGAATGAAAACCCGAAATGAAAAGGAGGCGGGAGCACAAGATCTATTGGTAATTCGACGAGCATAGACCAACTCAACAGCGGCGATTATTATCTCGCCCATTTAGCCAGAGTTCGTGCCATTTTAATGGTTAACTGGCATTAAATATAATTACTCATTAAAGCAACAAAGTCACTTCCCCGACCGAAGGCACAAGTAAGTACGTCTGAAGTTTGGCTCTTGTTTTCGTAATGGGCTGAGACGCTTCCACAAACAAAATCTGGCCTCTTGGCTTGGGTTGTCACTTGTTTTGTCAATAACTCGCAACTGTTGCTCTGGCCAGAGATAAAAATAGGTTCGCGACGACAAGGTAAAGGCCCTATTCGCCAGCGAAGCCCCGCAATCAATATGGCATATTAAAGCAGTGGAAAGTTGCTTAAAAGCGAAACTGATAAGGGCCCAACCGTCCATAACCCATTAGCCGAGTTAAATGTGGAAAAGCTGCAATAATGTGCCATTAAAATAAAATGAAAAGTGTACTGAAATAGAGGTTGGTGCTTTAAAAGGGGTGGGGGTGGGTTAAACCAGTCACGTGCAGCGCTTGTGGATTACCAAAAGTCAACACTCTGCTGGGATGATAAGATCTCAGCTATGCGATAGTTCCGTCTGAGGTTCTGTTCTGCATGACCAGCGCAATTAGATTAATCAAAAATGTTTATAGCCTTTTGAGTGTTATAAACCGCACACGTCCATATATCAAGTGCCCAAAATGGCAGGCTGATAGCTCTTAGGCTGTGTGCAAAAGCCGAAAATGGCTCTGAACTTTCCCCTTGGTCAATAACAATTAGATTAAAAATTTGGCACATCTTTGTAGTTAATTGAAATATATTCGTTTTTAATTGTCACTATATTAGCAATACTGTATTAAAGCAGCTTTGTAGGATTAGGAACATATTTAACGAAAAAAAATATATAAAAACTGTGCTACACTCTTTTCTTTCTTATCGTTTTAATAATATATATTTTTTTTACCTATCTTATCTTCGTTTTTGTTTTAGAGAGATTGTTGGTCTTTTATCGGGTAAATTTAATTTTAATTTGCTAATTTAAAGCGTCTTTGTTGCAATTGGTTATAGAATTTAGAATATGAATTTGCCATTCTAAATTAAGGGAACCATTATAAATTACCAAACCTTTTTCTTCCAATTACGAAACTTTTTTGCCCTAAAGTTTTAATGTTTTGCAAGTGCAACAATGCAACAGAAGGCTAAGCCACTTAGATTGGCAAAATGGAGCCATCAAAAAACACATGTCCCCGCCCAAGAGCCATAATAAATGTTTTTACACCCCCATTCGATTAAGTCATCAGGGCAGGTGTATTCCATATTCCGTATTTCAAACCCAGATCCTTCGGTTGCCTCCACAGCGAAGTAAAGCGCTTTGACCAAGCCCCAAAAACTAAAATCAGACATCGCTGCCTCAGTCGACGCGGACTGCGATGGCGGCGGCGACTGCGGCTGCGACGGCGACTGCGACTGCGGCAGAGAGTATATCAGTTACAGCCGCAACATTGCCAACGTTTATTTGCGCTCGAACAGCGAACGTGGTAGCACAGCTTAAATAAATCCAGCTACAATCTGCAAGAAAGAAAAGCCGAGACGGCAACGGTAATTTGAAAATTCGAAAAGGAAATCGAGTTCGGAGCGGTTAATTTAATTGAAAATAATAAAATCGAGTTATTGTTCGTTGCGCTTTCCAATTTCTAAGTAAGAAATAATTGAGCCCAGTGTGAAAATAAACGAGAGGAGTGCAGGAAAAACCGAAAAAGGCAGACGGGTGAAATTAATTTGACAAAAACTCCACCATCCGCCCATTCGACTCCGTGGTCAAGTGCCTGACAATTGTGCAACCTCAAGACTCTTAACCTTAACAATTATATTTTGGCCACAAAAAACTATTGGCGCAATTCAGTTCGATTCGAGTGCTCGCTAGCTCACTTTTACCTGCAGCTGAAATAAAAATTAAGCAAAAAGCGCGCTTTGAAAACGAAAGCAAAACACAAGTTCGATTCAAAACCCCCCACGCTTTGCCAAAAAACTCAAGTGGCAGCCCCCAGAAGACAGTAGACCGAAGACAGAAGACAGCAAAATGGTTGAGAAAACAGGTGAGTGATTGGCGATTGGAAACTGGAGAATGCGAACTATGCGTGTGCGTGTGTGCGAAGGTTAATTGCGAATAAAATGGGGGCGAAGAGTGCGCGAAATTGTTTTGATTTTCTACGAAAGTTAATGCCACTCATTTGGGGCTTTCCTCTTTTGTTTGAAAAATATGAAAGGAAATAAAAATAGTGTAGTTTCAAAAACTCTACCAATACGTTTGATATTTTTGGCTATAATCCAAGTTTAATGTGCCTAATTGTTTTTCCGAAATATTTTTTTATTTAAACATTTATACGGATTTTATAAAAAATTGTTTGTCTGACAATATTATGATATTACTTCGGGAGCGGGTTTGATGAGTAATTATGATAAGAAAATGTTTGTTACATTTTAAAAAACCTTATTCATAAAGAGCTTCGCCTATTGAATACAATATATTCTGTTTTTGGATCCCGTATTCATTTTAACAATAAAAACTTAAACCAATTTATTCTTAACTTTTCTATCATTTTAAATCTTTTAAATATTTACCTCTAAAATTCTACATTTTTATTGTAATTTATATTGTGCACTTAAATCAAAAACCCACTATTTATGTTTTCACTTTCTAAAGAAACCCAAAGTGGCCCAAAATTTGCCTAAAAATTAATCACTGCTGTTTAATTAATCATCTATAATAAGCCATCTGAAGACATTTTGATAAATCATCTTTCTTTGGGATTGTTGAGTTAATCAAAGACTAGCCCGCCTGTCGATAACGATAACAAGATGATTGGTTTTCAATAATTTCTGTGGCGCAGCATGACAAAGACAGTAAATTAGCCTCAAGTTATTTTTCTATAGTTAGACGTATACTTTTTGTTGCTTTGATTTAGCTTCCGTGGCGGTTGATGATGATTTCTGTAACTGAAAGTTTGCATGACAGAAAGGCCTCAAAAGAAAAATAAGATAGATAGGAGAAAACTTTGATAGGTAAACAACAGCGGAAACTACGGCCGGGCAATTTAGGCGATGATGATGTTGATGACTCCCCAAGAAAGCAATAAAACTACGCCACATCGAGTGAATGAACTGAAGAAAACAAGTGAGGAGCCGAAAAATAGGAACTTTTATTTGAGCAGCTTCAACAGGCAATTAATTAAAAAACTTAATTGCATTTTCTGTTTGCTCCGCAGAATTTAAGACGATCTCTGGCGTCATTCTCGCCGCTTCTTCCGCCGATATCGTTGTGATAATGGCGATAATATTTGCCCAGCGCTGAATAGTCATTTGCCAGCCAAGCTCCATTATTGAAATTCTCGGTTCCAGCTAATTAATGTCAACGCCTGAGCTTCTATTTGATCAAGTGTTTAAACACAAGGTTCAATATTTGATTTAGATATTAAATATTTTTGCTGCCTGGTTCAGTGGCTAATGGTCGGATGGAATTTTTAGAGTAGTATCGTCTGGTAAGCCGTTAAAAATAGTCTTGTGAGGTGCGTGAGAAATTCGCGACCCTTTGGCGTTGAAATTCTGCAAATTACAGTACAAACGTGTGGCTAATTTGATATCTCTCTTTCGCTTTAATATCTTCCCCGCCTCATAATTCAATGCGTTGTCATCTTGGGCCAACATCGCTATATATACACTGCCACCTGACGTTAGTTGCCGGTTTTATGGCGTCGGGCATTCGCATTCGCAGATATGAAATTACAGTAATAATCGTGAGCCGGGTTGACATGACATCACGGTGAAATTGGCATTCAAAACAGTAGCACACTTAGAGCCAGGAAATGTTTTTGGCTCGGCCGCAGAACATTTAGACATTTAGCACAGTTAGTGCACATCTCCACTTAATTCCACCCATCTCAGCTCAGTTCTCAATGGAAGATCAACTTGTTTGTTAAGCAGATAGCTTATAATTAAGATAATAAGCTGCCATTGAGATGCACAGGAGCGAAGATGCTCGGTTCCCATGGAAAGTTTTTGATTCACGTAACGTGGAATTAAATTGACGGAATAATAATTGGAATGTTCAAGTGTCCAGAGTTGAGTGATTTTGATTTTCTATCGAAAATTGGCTTTGATCCATTCCGTAAGTCTTATCTTAAAGTTATTAGGAATGGAGAGAATATTTCCATAGAAATTTTTGGATTCGCATATCTGGTTTTCTATAGAACTTTCTTTGATCCGTTCCGTGACTCTGTAGAACGAACGAAAAGAATAAAAATCAGTTGGGATACAAATTATATCAATTTGTAGATTAGGAAGAAACATGCATAAAATATTTCTCAGTTTCTTTTTAGAATTTTTTTTTCGACAATTTATTAGTTACCTTCCTGAAAGCATCCCCATCAAAATATCACGATTTTCCCTATCGTGTCATCTTAAATTATCTCAATTAATTGGTAAACTTTCAAAGTTAGTCATAAACCACAAACCCCAATAAATTGCCTCTGATTTATGGTGCATTGTAAACGAGTTAAGACGACATAAATTCGTTTGAGCAAAAGCCCATAAAGATAATGAGTGAGTGCGCCCAAACTCCTCCCGCATAGCAAACGAAAACTGAATAGTCCCTGCCCATCTGACTAATTAATTTATAACGATTTTAATGGCCAGCGAACAGGTTTCGATCTTTCCCGCGACTGTTATTAATAAAATCATCACCTTGCCGAACAAAAGTGCCCAAGAGTTGCGCAAACCGAAATTAATAATCCGATTAAATTGATTAATTGTTGTAGACGAAATGGATTGAAAACAATATGCGAGAACCTTTTGTTTAGCACTTGCATATGGGAAATTAATGCCCCTGTGCTGGGTATTAACTTCAGATAAGCGACAATAACATAATTTGCATATATGGACGAAAATAACCCTTGTAAATTTACACAGCCCTCTTATACTCGCAAACTTTATTGTTAAGACACGCCTTAAGGCAAAGTCCTTTGTTTCTTGCTCTTTTCTTAATGCAGGCCAAACAAAGTCTTACGTAAGATCCATTAAGGCAGCTGTCTTTTTCAATTTCACTGATTTATTTTCACCGTCTTGTTGATAATAATTGCACACGTGTCAAACTGACGTCAGTTCGGAAAATTACCATTTGATACACCTTAAAAACCATCATGGCCCATAAAACTAGCTTCTGTGAATCCTTTTCGTTACCCAGTCGATTTCTTCGGCCCCTTCCCCAAATGATTAAGAAACATATGAGCAGAAAAGGACATAAATTAGTAAACTTATGCCAAATTTGCGTGCCTGGAGCGAATTAATGAGTTAGAGAGAGCGGAAAATGCTTGCCATCCGCGGCAACGAGGTGAGAAAAGGCGACAGGCGATGACATTGCTCATGTTCTAATAATACGCAGATAAGTCATGGCTAACCCAGCCCAGGTTCCCCAATCAACATAACCAGCCGAGTGATTCGGGGCCAGGACTTGGGAGCGGCCCTAGTGGAGCCAAGCCTTTGACTTGGCCTCCATCCAGGGGCACGTGTGCAGCTCCACGCCCCCAAGCCTTGATTTTAGCTATTGCCAAGGCTGGACACAAGAAGCACGGAGAGAAAAGAGTGCTAAGAAATTGCAATTACTACAAAATACAGTTTAGAAAAGTTAATACACCGCGATTTATACAATTTAGTTTTAAAATAATACTTTCACAGTTAAAAAATTCAGAAAATATTATTACAAAAGTGATTATCGAGTTTGAATGCTTTATATTTTAATATTTCAAAATTAATTTATAAACCCAATAAGAAAATTAAACATTTTAATTTATACAATTTTTTAGTTTTCGTTTACATTTTTAAAGTTTTTATTGGTACTACCTAAATTTGCAAAGTAATTTATAAGTGTGTTTCACATATTTTAGTTCAAATAGACTTCTTAGATAACCTCCATTTCTCTCAGTGCCCGTTCCGTACAAGGTTTTCAGGATGTGAGCCACATTGAAAACAAGCAGAACAGGTGCAAGACCATGTCGAGCGGACATCCGCGGCAACATCAAGTTTATGGCGACTGCAGCGCCGCTTTTCCCGGGGGTCAGACATGCACTTAGCCGTCCCGGCCAACTTGGCATAGATTCCGATTCGGATACACAATGTGGATTACTATATTTGGGTTCCAGTGCTGGGGAGTTGCTAATAATACGGTAATTATATGCAGGCTAGTCAAATAGACCCCTACAAGGAGATCCAAAATTCTCCGGCTATCTGGGAGCAGACAGCTCACCTGACTCACGCCTATCTTATCAGTCAGTAATTCAGTCAGTTCAGGCAATAGCTATAAATCGCCGGACAGAACGAATACGTTCTTGGCAATGACTTGAAAGCAAACGGCCGGCACATTCAAGATGCTATCGCGGGCATTGCGAAATAGTTGAATATTACGAGTACCACTTGAATTGTGGGTAGGGGTTCTATGAATGTGAAAGTGAAATTTTACAGTGCCAAGGAATTTTTTCCCACGAGGATCGTAATTTATCAGGCCTGCCGGCGATAAGGAATGTGCTAAGATTTCCCACCCAAGGGCGTGTGTGAAATGTGCAGCGACCTTGACATTTTAATTTGGTTTGTGGGATCTGTGATACAGCGAATGGCGTATACTCTAACACACTTTTTATGTGATTTCTGAATAATCAGATGGTGAAAGTCCTTAGCAGTCATTACAAAATAGAAAGCATTATTATGAGAAGTAGAAATCCATTTATAGCGATTATTATAATCGAATATAAAATTATGGAAATATTATAAATTATTTTTATTATTATTATTTTCAGTTTGTTTCTTTTAGCTTTTAAACTCGTTGAAAGAGTATCCCGTGCTTGAAACTTTGCCGGCTAGAGATTTCAATCTCTTCGAGCACGAGTAATAAAAAATTGTTTTGTTTTCTTCGTACATTGTTGAGCTCGCTGTTGAGCTGAAATTTTCAAACACGGAAGCCAAAGAGAAATGATAAAGAGTGAGACAAAGCCCGAAACGAAGCCACTCTTTACCTGCTTTGAATTTCAAATTTCCGCTTGGCTGTGCAAAAAAAAAATACACAAAAAACGGGACAAAGCAATCAAAATCAAGTGCCAGGTACAGGTACTAAAAAAAAAAAAAAACAGGTACTCTTTGTTATGTGGGTCAGGCAATTCCAAGCCAACTTCTTGATGGCAAGACTCCAGAACAATTTTGCAGACGATAAATATTATTACGCATACGGCGGGAATTTTTCGATTTGAAAGAAGTTAAATGTTAAATTGCGCTCGTTTCGGGTTTTTGATAGCAAAGCAAGTTTGCTTTTGATGTGCGCCCCACTAATTAATTTCATGTCGAATGGCAGTGACAATGTCGTGTTCTGATTGATGGCCTGGAAAATTGATGGAGTGGTCCCAGTTCTCGGCTGTATTTAGAACACACCTTAGGCGCTAATCAAATTACTTAGAATTCATTGGACGATCTCGATTTTTAACTTAACTTTTTCCCCTAATTATATTAATTACTCTTCATTATGAACAATATCGAATTGTATTCGACAAATTAAAAGGCGAAATTAACACAGATAAATCTTCATCTCGCAAATGTATCTCGGCTGGCCTTGCTGATGGATTGTTTTTATATGTCTATACGGCTTTTTCGCTAAAACACACACGAAATCAAACCCAAAAGCCTCGACGTCGTCACGCCCTCACCTTCCAATTGATGACTATTGTGTGTAATTGTTGTTATTATGATTTTTTCATTTTGTTAATATCATTTTTTTAAGTGCCTGCCGGCCACAATAATTTATTGGGCTTTGCATTTTCTTCAGACCACTTTCAATGGCATATCAAGATGTTGTTTTCTGCGCTTTTGCTGAGCATTAGCCAACTCCCAAGGATGTGACAAGAAGGCCTACGAAGGTTGTTGGGGCCCGAAACAATTTAGATTAAGTTGGGTAAGCGGCCAAGATAAGGCTTATTTTTAGGTAGCAGCCACTACTTTATCTTTATGGAGACCTGTTGAGTTAGTTTGCTTCCTGAAAACAACCCCAAGATATAAAGCCCATCAATTATAGAACTGATTGCTGCTGATTGCCTAAGCTTTAGTGGGCCCCAAACAGCCTATACCCCAAAATTACACAAAAAAAAAACTTAATATGATACCGCGATCCATTTAATATTAAGTGGTATCAATTTTTACTTTATATGCGGCATATCAATTCGATATGCTCGAAATGTAAACAACATGTTCTAAGTAGGCAAGTTGGAATTTCGATTTAATCCCGGCGTGTTTTTTTTGTGTGTACTTATATAACTCACCCCAAAGTTACTGCAAATTTAAATGTCAACTAAGGGCCGCTTTCTCGAGTCCCTGTCAAAGTCCCTGATAGCTATCTGTTCGAAAAACTTAAAGACCAGATAAACTGTTCGTAAAAGCAAATCGGCTTTCTCGACTGCTTTAATTTATCTGAACGAGAAACAATTACAGAGTGCTGTTAACGCACTGTAAAGTGCAAGAAATGGCATGCTTCGATTATTTCATCAGCTGTTTGGGTTTAATTCAAAGGAAAAGTCAGCTGTGATTTTGTTTCTTCTTCATAGTTGGCTTTGGGAAATCAGCTGTCATTCTATCGAGCCGAAAACGCTTAACAGGGACTCCGAGTCCCTGTCAAAGTTAGCTCTCACATTTATGCTCGAGAAAGCCAAAATGCCTTAGCAGGGACTTTATCTGTTCGAGAAATGTTAGCCGGCACTCGAGAAACCGGCCCTAAACTGGCTAACAGCCATCGAGCCAAGTGCATTTCACAGCTCAAAGCCTCAAATGAAAGCCACACAAATTACTTATTAATGATCCTGAGGTTCCATTGAACTTGAATCTCGATTTTCAATTCAATTGCCGTGATTAATATCTGGCAGATGAAGTTATTAATTTCCCCCCGTTGATTCCGCTGTATTGATTGATTGTCAAACGGAGATGCTCAGTTCGGCAATAATTTGTGTTTGTTTGTCCCACAATGATCGTGTAATTATGTTTGACATTTCGTTATCTTTAATTAAATGCAATTTACATTTGTTTTTGTCTTAGCAAATTAACATAGAGAGAACAGCGAATGAATTAAACAAATGTTCATGGCAAATAAACCATAAATTTCGTACACTTATGCTAATTGAGTTTTGGCCAATTGCGATTCTTGTCAACAAGTCGATCTGGTTTCATTTCGAATCTTATTTACGCAACTTGTGTGGGTGGCTAGAACCGCCTCCTAAAGTTTCGAGACTATCATATTTCATTTGATAAAATGGTTATTGCTCCTAATATTCTTTAATGGGCACTTCCTGGGCTCAAAATATTTAGATCAAAAGAGTGATAACTGACTGTGTAAAATTTACTGTCGCTTTTAAAGGTGTGACTAACATTGATAGTTCTTACTTTATCATTTTCTAGTTTTTTTGCCGATAAAAAGTGACGCTGAAATTCAATTGAATTCCTAGAAATATCACAAGCTAATGTCAGCTCAAGTTATTTATGGGTTTCCTGCGGTTTCATCAGGGGAATTCCTCGGGGACTTCGCCAAATTCGGATCACGTTGGTCTGCATTTGATATTTTCACCCGATATACTCCAGCTGAATTTAAATTTAAAAGGGGGATTGCAGTTTCCAATCGCTTTTGAACCGATGCCAGTAGCGAATCGTAACTGTTTGTTGACACCCAGATTTTTACGAGGTTTTCCTACTGTTATTGCTTTATCTCTGGTAGTTCAGAGTCATGGGACGCCAGATAATTGCCGTATTAAGTGAAGTGTGCGAACCTGGCGATAACATCGCCTCACTTATCAGTGGAAAAAGTGGAAAAGGGGGCGTTGTGTGTTCATCACTTAGCCAGGCATTTTGGTCAAGTGACAGCCATAAAATAAATGTCTATTTAAATGCGGCTTAAGGAACAAGGTCTTCAGACCAAGTATTTCTTAACTCCCTGATAAGCCCTACATTTTGCTTTAATTGCACCCAATTAAATGGCAGTCATCATGTCTATAAATAATTTTATTGGCAGTGCAACTGGTGCTTAGGCTGCACTTTTCGCAAATATTTGTTAAGACCGCTTGGCGCGTAGACAAATTAATTAACACCCACTCATTAGCACTCGACTTCGCCTGGCACGAGCACTGAAATGACAAATGAAAGGCTTCTGTCAGGAAGTAAACACCCAGGTGCCATTAAACAAATTAATTAATCAAGCGATGCAAATTGTTTGACCAGTCTGTGCAAAGGGCAAATTGGTTGAACAGTAAATTTTAGGTATTTATTTAAATAATATAAGCTTAGGTATTCCAGGGAAATGCGCTGTGAATTTTCACTATAACTTTATTGACGTAATTGCAGTAAACGTGCCCATTCACAAGCGTATTTTTATTGCCTACAACGTCACATAAATACATCAAATACCTTATTTTCCTGTCACCTTGTACAAACTGCAATAGATTTGAATTTAAACAAATTAAATCCGCTGCAATAATATATTAAAGAAAATTGCACAAAACAGAAAAAGTTTTACCTAATTTGTTCGTTGTTAACAGTTTTTGTTCGGACTTTATTGACTAAGAGCTGCATTAAACTAACGATAAGCTGACAAAAACTAATAATTAATAATGATTTGGCATGCGCTGCGCAAGTATCAATCAACGGTTTTTCTGACTTCTGATTTCTGTGATTTTTTTGTTTACGCTTACTAATATTGGGTTCTAATGCTCGGTCTGTGTTTTCCATTTGCAGAAATGTCGAAATTCGTTGGCGTTGCCGACATAACCGAGAACAAGAAAATCTGGCGCATGCTGCTCGGCGAACTGGTGGGCACATTTTTCTTGGTCTTCGTCGGCGTTGGCAGCACGACGAGCGGAAGTGTACCACAAATCGCATTCACCTTTGGCTTGACGGTGGCCACAATCGCCCAGGTAACTATACGCATACAAATTTTATCATGGATGGACCAAAGTCTTTTAGACTTAGCTTCTAAGAACTAAATCTTTCACTCTTGATGCTTAAATTAAATTCTACAAATAAATTAGAAACTATTTTTAACAAGTTAACACTATAAATTAAACTTAAATAAATTAAAACTTTTTTTGAACAAGCTCACACTTAAAATTTAAATTTGTATTTTTGAAAATGTTGAACATTATTGCATTTTAATTATATCTCTAAATTTTCTAAAAACTAAATCTCTCAATCTTAAAGCTTCAAATAAATTCAGTATATAAATTCAAACCCCTTTTGAACAGGTTCACCCAAAATTTTTATATTTATATATTTGAAAATTTGAATATTATTGTAGTTTAATATTATCTTTCTGTAAGGCTTTAATACAAATTTTACTTCCAATAGTAAGGGAATACCTACTTTTTTGTAATCTAAAATAATAGTTAAAGTTAATGTATTTACCAATTAAAATTTAAACATTTAGTCTCCGAACTTTAGGTTTCCAGTTAAAAATGTTTTAGTCACCTTTCGTAGTCAACATGTCGTATGATTAATGTGCAACATTTTTAGGGTTATAAAATGTAACCGCAATTCTGTTTTCATTGGCGGAAAGAACTCATCGAAATAAGCTAAAACCCATTTGGGTTTCTCTGGCTTAGCTCGCGTTTACCTATTATAGCGAGTTAAAGTTTTACATACAAAGTTTATTTATAACGGCCATATCTTGTGAACCGATTAAAATTTTACTATCAAGTCTTCAGTGATTATATAGCTATGAACCCAAGGAACTAAATTGACAAATGACTCTTGCGAAGACGTACACCTAGCGCGTTAAAAATCGAAAAATTAGGCAAATTTGTTTTTTAACGCGCTAGGTACACTAGGTGCTAAGTGCGCAAGAGTCATTTGTCAATTTAGTTCCTTGGGTTCATGGCTACATAATCACTGAAGACTTGATAGTGAAATTTTAAGCGGTTCAGAAGATATGGCCGTTACAAATAAATTTTGTATGTACAACTTTAACTCGCTATAAAAGGTAAACGCGAGCTAAGCCAGAGAAACCCAAATGGGTTTCAGCTTATTTCGATGAGTTCTTTCCGCCCATGAAATCAGAATTGCGGGTACATTTTTCATGTTGCACTGTGTAATTTCTCGATTTCATTGTACCTTGTAGAGTTGAGAGTTTAGGTCCACTCTTTCAAACCAAATACAGATCATACAAAGAGAACGCATCGAGCTAGAGCATTTCAGATCTGTGATCTGCTAGTCGAGTCAGAGATTTCAGGCCAGAAGTCGGCGGTGCGTGCGTTGATCGGCGGGCATTTTCAAGGACACGCCACCGCCGCGTTACACTTTCGGCTCATTCACAAACGCAGCGTTTTTGGCCAAGAGACATTGGCATTTAAAAGCGACAACATCGCGGGCCCGCCATAAAAATGTGAAAAACCAAAAAAACAAACGTCCAACAAATGCTGCTTGCCGCTCAGAACTCAGAGCTCAGAACTCAAGACTGCGTGCGAATGTAATTTACAAAATTGACAGATTTACAAACGCACACTGGAACTCACTTGCAGTGCGAATGCGAATAATAAATGCGCGCTCGCAGCAAAAGCGTCTGCGCTGGCAATTAACATTAATCAACACGCAAAATATGCAATTAGATTATTATGCGTTTAATTACGCTATGCTGTGCGAGTGACGACTGATGTCGTGCCTTAGCATTTAAAGCGATCCGCGCATTGCATTCGATTTATGGCACTACAAAAGTCAAGCTCAAGCAACCGAATCCATCAAGAACATAAATATGATCCATGATGTTCTATATTTAGCTCCCTGTGTCATTTATTAGATTTGCATAAATATAAATGAATATGAAATAGAATTTACAAAATTTTCAGTTTGGCCCTCACTTTGCAATTATTTTTCAGAAATAAAAATAGTAAAAGTAAACAAATTTTTAAATATTTTAATTAATAAGTAAGGTACTTATTATATAAGCTAAAAAAACTTTAAAATGATTTTAAAGGCCTAAACTTGTATTATTTCATAGAACAAGTCATGCTTTTGAATTAAAGTGTATTGCTAAAATTTCCTCTGACACACATATCGTATGAGTAATATTGATTGGCTGTCTGCAAACGCTCTCCTTTCCAATTTATGCTTACGACTCTAAAGTTGCAATGTAATAATCACATTGAAAGCGTTAATAATTTCCATAATGAAATCAAGTAGCAATATTGGCAACATAATGGATGCCTGTCTCTGCCATTTCCCCGCGGAAAACACTTGCAACATTTTCGCTATTAGTGGCAAATTAGTTGCCCGTCGCTTGCCAAATCACGTGGACAGATCGGTCACATGACTGCAACCCGTGGCAGCTTTTCCAGCTTCTCCATACACAGTTTTCCATTTTCCATGACTTGCAGCAGCGATCGATTGGCCCCGCTCGAGCCCAAGATAAACTCAGGTATGCATTGCCAATTTCGCCAGCAGGTGTGACGACAATGCTGCAGTCGTTCGTCATCGTTATCGCTATCGCCAAAGCAAAGCCCCCGGCAAAAGGTGTTCAATGGAGCAAGACGCGTGGCGTCAAATTGGAAAACGTGCTAATTGCCAGCAATTGTGGGCCCTGGAATGGCGAGTCCAGTCAGAAATAAGTCAAGAAATATGATATTTCTAAGTTTTAGCTTAGACTATCGAATTACCCCAGATCGGCACTTCAAATGCAAATCTCTGGCAGATCCACATTTGTATGCATTTCGCATATACACAATCGCGTGACAGCCGGCCAAAAGGAAGTAAATCAAAGAAAATGCTAATAAAATAAACTGAAATTTAATGCATCGAAAAAGGGTTGGAGAAAATGGCAAACAACAATACTACGACGTGCATGGAAAAATTTATATTAACTGATCTTAATGTGGGTTGTAAATTGTCATGTCATGTTAGCCGATTGTTATCAAAAATTCAGCGAGAGGGATTGGCGTTTATTAGGGGTTTGAAAACAATTTTAGTAGAGGAAAAGTACCTACAAAATGCCAGCGAATAATAATATTATTGCTGATAATATTAAATTAAAGGTATGGCATGGAAGGCATATTAATTATTTGTTAGATAAATGAAGAACAAAGAACTAAATAAATAAAATAACATTTATTTACTATGAATGAATTAAAACCTTAATAAATGTAGTCTTAGCCTGAACATTATTTGATTTAATTATACAGGCGGCGTTAAAACCAAATGAACAATTGAAAAAAATACAAGAAAACTTGGTGCGTGCACCATTCACGTTTTTGTTTTCAATTCGCGATCGCAATCGAATCAAGTTGGTTGAACAAACTTCGACTTCGACTTTGGCTTTGGCCCGATGCGAACTTGAATTGAGTTGGCCAACAGGCAAACAGGCAAAAAGGCAAAAAAGCACAACAACAATCGCCAAAATGCTGCTAAAAAGCAGAACGAAACAAACAAGTTAACATTCAATTTTCAGCTGGAAAACCATAAAATATGATTTAAGCGTAAATGTCGAGCTGTGGTTTCCACTGCACATGCGTAAGCCAATCGATCTCTATATATATTTATGTGTATCTCGATCGGTAGAAGAGATTTGCCAGACTTTTTGTAGCCAATGGAAAACCTTGAGATCATGGAGAGTGCTGACACAAAGTAATTCTCAATTGATTTAAGGTTTTTTTATTTTTTAGAGCTCTATTCTTTAAAATATAAAAGTTTGCAGTATACAAAGACCCTCTTAAAGTTCTTATATTTCAAGGAAGTAATTGTACTTAATTCATTTAAATAATTAAACATTTGCAAAGTCAAGTAGGTAATTACGAATTTATTCAAATACGAAATGAGTTAATCCCAAATATCTATACTTCGATCGATTTTTCGCAAATGAAGAAAAGATTTGCAGAGCAGGTGTTATCGTTCATGGTAGTCTTCCCGTTAACAGTTCGTATGTCCACACACTTGCCGTCCTTGGTGGGTTCACCATCCGCCCATCTTAAAAAGTTGGCTTTCGATCCTTTAGTTATAGACACGAATTCGTCATCCTTGAACTGATTGGTCACGTCGATCCAGTAGCGATTCAGACCATCGAACTTACTGTTGAAGGCGTCCAATTCCTCCTGGCTTTGCAGGCTGACCAGATGGCCCCCCATTTTATGGCATTTATCCAAGGCTTCGTGCCAGTTTACCCTTAGTTCCTTCTCAATGTAGTAATATTTGCTGCCCAGTTGCTGAAAAGTTTCGTTGCTTTCCAATTTCCCGGCTGCTGGAGTGGCTGCTAAAAGTAGCTGCGAGTTGTTTTTCTTTTCTGGTTGCATCGTTAGTGAATTACCAAAAGTCTCCAGCCTTCGATCATTAAGAGCTATTCTCGCAATAGTTACAGCTGCTTCACAAGCCTCCGCCCGTCGTTGTAGGTTTGCCAAGTTCGACATGCACGGATTTAAAACCCCAAAGCAGTAGGCAGCGCACTGGGTTTGGCATTCATCTCCCTGAAAAGGTATTTTACCTGATTTTGTTGTTTTATATTTTAGTGTTTTATAGGCTTTACTCACCTCGCAGACTGTTGAATAGGATGTCCCTAAGTATATCGACAACACCACTAGTACAATAGCACTTCGCATTGCTCTCATCTTGGTTACTTTTCAATACGAAAGGCATAAGCAGACTGACTTCAATGCATCGACTCAAAATATATTAGGCATCATCCCAATCGCAGAAAAATTACTTTATGTGCTGATTGAGAAAGCAGCAAATCTTACGCTGCATGATAAGAAATGTTTGTATTTAAACCATGGAGGAATATACACTGTATACGTCATTGTTTACCTTATCATCTTACACGTAGAAAAAGCAGATTGAAAATACTTGGATATTTTTGATAATATAATATTTCTTTATTATAAAATATTTTATTATTATTACTATTCTAGTCTTATTATGTGGAAACTAAAATGATAGACCTATTTGACAATTCTAATTTTACATAATTTAAAAGAAAATTGATTTTATAAATCATCATGTGATTATATAAGTCATTATGTGATTTTTCTTTAACTTTCCGACCAATGATTTAAATGTTCTATTCAATATGCATAGGCCAAAATCAAAAAATCCCATGAAAATATCATAGGCCTAACTCGATTAGAGTCGTGTTTCATCGATGACTCATGTCCAAATTCAGTCAGTCCGTCACTCTCGGATTTCACACGCAGCCGGTTGGCCGATCGCGATTACTTTCGTTGCATATATTAAATTTAATTATGGGTTTCGGGCTCGACAATAAATTTGATTAATTTCACGACTCTTCGAGTGTGTGCAATTAAGATGAGTCGAGAGGTATTGAGTTGGGAACAATAGGCCTACTATACGTAGATCGATTAGATCAGGTGGAGTGGCAGCAAAAGCATACGCAGAAGCAATGGCAAAAGCGGCAACTTAATATTATAGACGAAATCGAAATTGCATTGCACGCATGAGCATAACCAAAATGTCAAGAAGTTGTTCGAGTTGTAGTTGCCGCTCGGATTTGTGGCCCAAACTCGATTCGATCTTGCTCTTGGCGGCATTTGTAATTAGCGTTTTGTGGCCGAACGGCCGGCACAGGCATTTTTTGCGCATTTATTAATTAAACGCAAAGCGACGCACGACATTGGCCATGCGAAATCCATATCGAAACCGAGTTCGTATCACCAAAACGTGGAAAAAACACGCCTGAAAAGAGATATCAAACATAGAAGCCTGCGCATCGACCTTGAGCAGTGCGTTTCGGCTTCATTCATAACACTTGAATCCGATGCGATCCAATCCAATGCGATCCGATCAATTTGTTGACTGGGCTGTGATTTCCATCTAAGTGGTTCCATGTGATCTCTGCGCGGGCGATGACTCAACAGAACCCCCGAAACGAGGCACTTTTACTTTCAATCTGAACTTTGCAGACACGCTGAACACAATAAATGCACTCGAGTGCATCGCTGGTCTGACAAATTGCTTGTATCCGTTGGCAGCTCGATGTGTAAGCGATTGTGCAACGGAAAAATCAGAAAATTCGGAAAATTGAATCGAAATCAGCTGCCATGGCAAAGGGCAAACATTAAAAGAAGATGGTTAAGATGTTGCGTTGTCAACTTGACATTTAAAGGCATCGATCGAGGATGAGGTGGGCCATTGTACCTCACTCAGATATTACCTTTATGTAAAATTTAAAAATAAAAATTTTTAAATAAAAAAACGTAATTTACTAACTGTTATAAAAAGTATGACTCTTTTTATTCTATCTGTTATTTAAAAATGGGTATCGACTGCATAACCAATAATTTTTTGTTAGGCTTTGGAAATATTCACCTTAAAATTAAGTTACTTTAAGAATTTATGTGGGATGCAGTAGTGGAGAGACAAGGACCACTAGAAGCGGTCTTACCTTCTGATCTGTTATCTTTCCCTTTCTGTACTCAGTATTTATAATTTGTACTCGATACCCAGTTGCAACGTGAGAAAAGTGGCAACGCACTGCCATACACTCGCTGACAGAATCTCGCAAAGAACAGAACATAAGAAGCACACGTATATTTGTCAATCTTAAGTTAATAAGTCGAATGTGAATAAAGTCTATCAATTTTAATACATTTAAACGTCAGCGTTATCTCTTACAAAAGAGGAACCTGCAATTTTTGGGGGCTCGTCCGGGATATGGCCATCCATTCGACAGAGCTATAACATTCGTTTCGCGCAAATCACGTGGAGTGCGGTGAAAGAAGAGAGCTGGTTAAATTTCGCAAATTGGGCTGGAGGAGATCTGCAAATCGTCATAAGCAATTTGGCTGGAGTGTGACAAGAAAAGTAGGAGTTGACAGCAAGGCGAAGAATTTTATCATAGAGGCGTACATTTGCAAGCTACTGAGGCAAAGTAAAACGCAATTACAAAGACAGTGAGAAGTGCCGACACACACACATAAGCAGAGAAAGTCAGCGGACGCAGAGCTGGAAAAGATTGCGGAGCAGCGGTTTGTGGCTGGGAGCAGTTTCGAGGCAGCGGATCACGGCGTGAGATCTAGGAGAAGCAGCGGACACGGGCTGGAAGCAGTGGAGATAGAGCGAGCAAGACATTGGATCTAGTGTGGTCATCGGAGCGTGCGTGCAGAATTGTGTAAGCGGAGGGCTGGTACACATATCTTGGCAACAGACGAAGACATCCAGAAGGTTCCAGTTGAGTTTGGATATCATCATTGTATTTGTGACGCGGTGCAAGCGTAAGCAAGAAATACGACGAGTAACAGAGGCGACCTCATTGAGCGAGAGGCGAACTATTGGAGGAGAGTTGCCCGAAAGTTTATTTCAAGTTGTATGTAAGCTAGTGGGGTAACATTGAAATCAAGCAGTGCTAAAATCAACATTGCAGATACAGGGTGGTTAATCTATTTACTTTTTGCTGTTGATATTAGAATTAAGAAAACTTTGTTTAAACTTAATATTCTACAGGATAAATTTGTAAAATGGAGAGAAGCGAGATCTTGGCATTGCGAGTCGAAGAGTTGCGGCGGAAGTTGTCGGAGTTGCAATTGGGTACGACTGGATTGAAAGCTGAATTGCAAGAGAGATTATTGACCTACTTTGGATTGAATGAAGGAGGTGAGTCAGAAACGGAGGATAATGGAGAAGATGGTAGATCAGTGTCATCCGCAGAAACCACTGTAAATCGCCCAAATGCAGGTTGGCATGAAGGATTAGGCAATGAAAGACAGGGTAGATCGTGGTTCACTTTGAAAGACGTCGAGGGCAGTGTTTCGCAGTTTTCTGGGTCGAACTCCCCAGATATAAACCAATGGATAGGAGAGTTGGAAGATTGTGCAGCTACAGTTGAGTGGAACCCTTTACAGGTGTTTGTTTATGCAAAGCAGTTGCTTAGTGGAGCAGCAAAGATGTTTGTGCGTAGCCAGAGGAATATCAAAGATTGGGCAAGTTTGAAATCAGCTTTGTTGGAGGAGTTTGGAATCAAGTTGTCCTCAGCAGAAGTCCATCGCAGGTTGGGAAAACGACAGCACCATAAGGGTGAATCCTTGCATGAATTCCTCTATGCACTTATGGAAATCGCCAAGCCCATTCATTTGGAAGAAGAGAGTCTGATTGAGTATTTCGTTGAGGGTATCCCGGATGCTAGATCTAATAAGGCTATGCTGTATCAAGCTAGAAATCTTAAAGACCTTAAGCTACAAATCGACGCTTATCAGAAATCTCGTGGTTCATCCAAGCCAGTAAACAAATATGGTTCACAGGGTAGCAAGGCTGTGAACGACCCGAATAAAGAAGCGGTAGCTGGATCAGTTAGGAAATGTTTCCGGTGCGGAGATTCGTCGCATATGAAGAAGGACTGTCCTGTAAAAGAAAAATGTTTCAAATGCGATCAACCAGGACATCGGGCAGCGCAGTGTAAGGCAGAAGTACAGGTCAAAACAGAGAGAGCAACAAATGTTGTTCAGAAGGATAAAGTCGTTTCAACACCATCGCGTGATTCCTTTTCGTCGAGCTTGGAATTGAAATCCGTGATTTGCATGAATGCTGAATTCAAAGGACTTGTGGACACAGGGGCCGAATTGTGTTTGATGCGTAGGCGTGTGTTCTTGAAGCTAGGCGTAGGAGTTAGCAGTCTGATGGGTCGTCAAAGAGTTTTGACAGGGATCGGTGAAAGTCAGGTTCTAACATTCGGAAGCTTCATAACAAGTGTTGTTATCGATGGTATTGATATGTCGGTCGAGTTTCATGTCATACCAGATGAGGATATGAAGTTTGACGCAATTTTAGGCACACCAATCTTAGACAACGTGGACATGTTGGTAACCAAGTCTGGCACTATATTTTCAGCAAGAGTTCGTTGTGCTCAGCAAGGACCACAGAAAGGATCCGACGATAACCAGACAGGGCAAAGTTCTTGTGTGCAGCTAATTACCGAGTTCGAGAGTCTGTGCATGATCACCACAAAGGACTATGAGGCAGTCTCGGGAGTAGATTTGGAGCATTTGAGTCAGGAAGTAGCTTTTGAAGTGAAATCATTGATCGAGAACTACAAACCGAAGAGAAATCTCACTTCCCCAGTCGAGATGAAGATCTTGTTGACAAATGAGTTGCCCGTTTTTCAACATCCCAGACGTTTGGCTTATTGCGATCAGAAAATTGTCGATGATCAGGTTCAAGAATGGTTAGAGGAGGGAATTATCAAGCCTAGTACATCCGAGTTTGCTTCGCCAGTGGTTCTTGTTGATAAAAAGAACGGGAAGAAGCGCTTGTGTTGCGATTATCGCAAACTAAACGAAAAGATTGTCCGAGATAACTTCCCAACAGCTCACATGGATTGCGTAATCGAAAAGCTGCAAGGTGGAGAAGTTTTCACAACATTAGACTTGACTAATGGTTTCTTTCACGTGCCTGTTTCGCCAGAATCACAAAAGTATACCTCGTTCGTAACTCAGAGTGGGCAGTATGAGTTCCTGTTTGTACCCTTCGGTATAACAAACTCTCCAGCAGTGTTTACCAGGTTTATCATGGCGGTTTTGCGTGATTCGATTCAGAAAGAGGATGCTGTTGTATACATGGATGATGTCATCATTGCGAGTAAGAGTATCGATGAGGGCGTTCAGAAATTGAAGCGAGTTTTGGAAGTGGCACAGAGAAATGGTTTGCGCATAAATTGGAGTAAGTGTCAGGTGTTGAAGCGCAAAGTTAATTTCTTAGGCTATGTCGTTGAAAATGGTACCATTAAGCCAGGTGATGAGAAGACTCGAGCAGTAGCTGAATTTCCGATTCCGCGCGACAGGAAAGGAGTCCAACGATTCTTAGGGTTGACGTCGTATTTTCGTAGGTTTGTGGAAGGATACGCCGTAATTGCCAAACCGTTGTCCGACCTATTGCGCAAAGAGGAGAAATTTGAGTTTCATGACAAGCAGCTAGCAGCATTCAAAAAGCTCAAGGAAGCGTTGATCAGTGGACCAGTTCTGAAGCTCTATGATCATTCGCTTGAAACGGAGATTCACACCGATGCATCCAAGTTCGGATTTGGAGCCGTTTTGCTTCAACGAGATTCCGGTGATAACTTGTGGCATCCAGTTTTCTACATGAGCCGTAAAACCAAGCCTTGCGAGGAAAAGTATCATTCCTATGAACTCGAAGTGCTTGCGGTTATTGGAGCTTTAGTCAAGTGGCGGGTGTACGTGCTAGGGAAAAGGTTCAAGATTGTTACGGACTGTAACGCTTTTACAATGACCATGAAGAAGAAGGAGATTCCGCTCAGGGTATCTAGATGGGCGATGTATCTGCAAGATTTTGACTATGAAATAGAACACAGGTCCGGCTCGAAGATGAGACATGTCGATGCGTTGAGTAGGGTGTCATGTTTCACATTGACCGACAGTTTGCTTCATCGTTTGCGGGAGGCACAGTTGTTAGATGATTGGACGAAGGTACTTAGGAGTGTCGTTGAGACCAAGGGCTATGAAGATTTCTACATTGTCAACGGGGTCCTCTTCAAGGATCCGAACAAAGAGTTGCTAGTGGTTCCTTCACTCATGGAAACCGAAATCATTCAAATCAGTCACAAGCAAGGACATTTCTCGTCGAAGAAAACTCAGGACTTGGTCGAAAAGTCGTACTATATTCCGAAGCTGAAGGAAAAGGTATCGCGAGTTGTAGATAGTTGCGTAGAGTGCATTCTTGTGAATGCAAAATCTGGTAGGCAAGAAGGGTTTCTTACACCGATCGACAAAGGAGACAAGCCGCTCGTCACATACCATGTCGATCATGTTGGTCCAATGGAGTTGACCAAAAAGCGCTACAATCACATTTTCGTCATTGTAGATGCCTTTTCAAAGTATGTGTGGCTATACCCTACTCGGAGCACAGGAGTTGAAGAAGTTGTTAGTTGTTTGGAACGTCAGGCCGTTTGTTTTGGAAATCCGTACAGGATAGTTTCGGACCGTGGAGCTGCTTTTACTTCCCACCTGTTCAAGGAGTACTGCGATAGGGAGAAAATCCAACATTTGCTAATTGCGACAGGCGTACCTAGGGGAAACGGACAGGTAGAGCGCATGCACAAAATAGTTGTTCCAATGCTATCTAAACTTAGCCATGAGAGTCCAGGGTGCTGGTATAAGCACGTAGGTAAAGTACAGCAGATTATAAACAACACAGAGCCGAGAAGTACCAAAGTTTCGCCATTTAAACTCTTAACAGGACTAGATATGCGTATCTCAGGAGATGTCCAGCTCAAGTCATTGATCCAGGATTGTTTGATCTCTGAGTTAGATGATGAACGCGACAAATTCAGAAAGGAAGCAAGGGAGAACATTCAGAGTATCCAAGCTGAGAACAAGAAAGCTTTTGACGCCAAAAGAAAGGTAGAAAAGAAGTTCCAACTAAACGATTTGGTAGCTATTAAACGCACCCAGTATGGTACTGGGTTAAAACTGAAAGGAAAGTACTTAGGGCCGTATAAAGTAGTTAAAGTCGGTAACCATGGAAGGTATGAAGTCGAACGGGTAGGAGAAGGTGAAGGGCCTTATAAGACTTCGACAGTTGCAGAGTACATGAAGGCATTCGGGGCGAATCCTGCGTCAGGAGGGCCGATTGTGGGATGCAGTAGTGGAGAGACAAGGACCACTAGAAGCGGTCTTACCTTCTGATCTGTTATCTTTCCCTTTCTGTACTCAGTATTTATAATTTGTACTCGATACCCAGTTGCAACGTGAGAAAAGTGGCAACGCACTGCCATACACTCGCTGACAGAATCTCGCAAAGAACAGAACATAAGAAGCACACGTATATTTGTCAATCTTAAGTTAATAAGTCGAATGTGAATAAAGTCTATCAATTTTAATACATTTAAACGTCAGCGTTATCTCTTACAAAAGAGGAACCTGCATTTATACTGTGATATTAAAATAAAAAAATTAAAATTTATATTCAAAATTACAAATTCTTTAAGTTAATATGACAAACATCGTAATAAAATTTAGTACCTTAATATAAATATTTTCCAAATAAATGATATTAAATATTGTGTTATTGTATTTTATTTAAAGATTAAATACAACATTTTAAAATGAATATGAATATATTTGTTTGTATTTTTAAAGTTTGTTATCCATGCTGAACTATAACCCTTAAACTCCGAACCTTTCTCACCTCTTCCAGGGCTTGGGTCACCTGAGCGGTTGCCACATCAACCCGGCTGTCACCCTTGGTTTCCTGATCGTCGGCGAGATCAGCATCCTAAAGGCGGCCTTCTATATCATCGTGCAATGTGTGGGCGCCATCGCCGGGGCAGCTGTGATCAAGGTGGCGCTCAATGGAGTGGCTGGCGCCGATCTGGGAGTTTCCATGTTTGATCCCTCCCTGGATTCTGCACAGGCGGTCCTGATCGAGGCGCTGATCACCTTCATTCTGGTGTTTGTGGTGAAGGCGGTTTCGGATTCGGGTCGTCAGGACATCAAGGGATCGGCGCCTCTGGCTGTGGGTCTGGCCATCACCGCTGGACATCTGTGCGCAGTAGGTTTTTAAATGAAATGGGTACAAACTTGATTGGTAATATTGTATACCGTTTACAGGTCAAACTGAGCGGTGCCAGCATGAATCCCGCCCGATCCTTTGGCCCCGCCGTTGTGCAGGGCGTGTGGACCTACCACTGGGTCTATTGGGTGGGTCCCATTGCCGGCGGTCTGCTGGCCGGGATCCTCTACCGATTCATCTTCAAGGTACGCAAGGGCGACGATGAGGCCAACTCGTACGACTTCTAGATGGCCAATAGCCGATAGCCGAATACCATATATTCTTGTAAATGTCCGCACCCGCTTTCCATTCGCATCACACATTAGCTTTCCATCCACCAAACAGGGTCACATCGAATTCGCTGCCGAAATTTCTCTTAGATTAGGTTTGCTCCACCACCAACCCGACCGCAACTTTCCGCACAATTGTATCATTTTTATTTGTTAAAGAATAAAAACGCAAGTGTATCGTTTTGGTTGTAACGCGAAGCTAACACACGTAAAATATGCAATATTGTATTTGAGTAATTTTAAGCTAAATTATATGCACAACATCATTACGCGAATCGGAGGAAAACTGTATCGAAGCTTAACTAAATTGTACCTCAAAAGCACTTTCCCAGGGAGATTTCAGCCCTCAAATAAGGTTGATTTCCCACCTCAGTTGATCACCACTTGTTGAGCACCTACGAATTGTATTATGACTATGTGTAATAAAAAATATTAAGAAAATACTACTTTTCGCCTTTGTCTGTATGTCCTGGGGCTTAAATCATTGTTATTTGTCATAAGTCTATGGGAATAATTCAAGAATTAAATGGGCTGAAACTAAAAAATAAAATGAGCTAACACATTCAAGGCAATCATCTGGTTACATATTTTAATTTTATTAACTAATTTCTAAAGTTTAGAGGTATGCTGCTTTTGGAAATATTTTAATCCGGAAAATGGAGCTAAATTTCCAGTGATTCGCGAGAAGAGTGTTTAATGGGTATCGCTTGAATTAGTAATATTAAGCGAGCGTAAAGCCGTTTCTGGGAATTTTCTTTATTGTGCGGAGGCTAATGTATACATTTCAGCTTAAGAAGGGCTGCACTCCATTTCAAGGTCATGAATCATTGTGGTCACTTGACGCTCTCAGAATCCCAGTGATGGCTTGGTTTGCATTTAGTATCCTTTGCATTCTACTGATGATGTACTGCGTGCTAACGCAAACATAACTTGGACCCAGGAAAGGGACATTTCATTACGTTTTTAAATTAGGATTCTAAGGTATTTAGTAAACAATTACAAGGTTTCGGGAGATTGAAACATGTTTCGGGCTTTATAACCTATATTTTTCCATTTCAGGTATGACTCAAGTCTAAAATCTCAGTCACCCCAGTTAAGGATCATGAACGAATGGGATGCTTTTAACTAAATACATCAAACTTGGTCTTATGTATTCTAACTTATTTATATATATTTATTATAAATAAATAAAATAAAAAATGAAGAGCCTTTTACAAGTTTTAAAACCATTTTTACGTGAATGTTTTAACATTTTATGCAGGGTGTACTATACATAATTTTACATTAATTTGTTGCCTTACAATTTATTTTACATATCTTTAGCCAAGACTGCAACCGGTTGTTTATTAACATCACGAGTGGTTAAAGTTTAACTATGTCTTTTGGACTGTTACTTTGGATAAAATAAAAAACATAAAATTTCAAATATTTCTGAATTTCAAATAAAATTTTTAAGAAATTAATGACATAGGAACGGTCGGAACATTTAATGGAAATCAAGAGGAAAAAGCTTTTCCTTAACATTTCAAAATTTCGAATTAAATTTAACAAAATTCGGACTGCTATATTATATAGCTGCTATAGAAAGGATCAGCAAGTTAATGCCAAAATAATAAGAAAGCAGCTAGAATTTGGTTTGATGTTACATATACGCAAGTAAATCCAAGTTTAATGTTTTGTAAGTTAATAAGAATGTTCGGCAAGGTATATAAGCTTCGGTTGACCTAAGCTAAAAAAAACAACAAAGATATTAGTTTTTTCCTCTTGTTTTTTATAATACATACTTCAGATTGTAATACAAATTATAGAAATATAATATAAATATGTAATTACTGATGCTCACATTAAAAATGTTTCAAAAAAACATTAAAAAGTGGTTATTATGCATAATGAAGCGGTTTGCCAATTCTGTGAATTTTTAATGTACATAATGCGGAGAATTCTACACAGTTCGGTTGGGGATCTTAAAGGGAATAGACCAGGCTCCGATACTTTGCGGGTAAGAAGATTTTTATTGAGAAATGTGCCCTATAAATATTTTAAAATTCAGGAGGTTAAAGTTGTAGTACTGCCCCAAACGGACTACCGGAATGGAACTTCCTATAAACCACGGGAAATTACGGATGATATGCTGTGTGCCGGGAGTATTTTGGAGGGTGGCAAGGACGCCTGCAGCGGTGACAGTGGCGGTCCCCTTCAGACGACCTTTGACGAGCAGCCGGGGCAATATCAGCTGGCTGGGATCGTTTCCTGGGGCGTTGGGTGTGCCCGACCCCAGTCCCCGGGAGTTTACATTAACATTCAATCACTATCTTCGCTGGCTGGGATCCAATACTCCAGGAGCTTGCCACTGCATGCCTTATCCAGAGGAGGATTACCAAATGTATTTTTAATAATTTTTAATAATATTTTAATCCGAAAACACTTTATTAAACTGTATAAACAAGCGATAAACAGTTAAAGGTATCTTCAGATTACCACACTTGGCAAGTTTGGTTCGTAGGAAGCATTCCAGATCCCACGGGACAGTTGAAGGCCCGCATGAAGTCCTCGCTGTTGGTTAAGTCACTCAGAAGTTTGTATTTCGGCAGGCGATTCCAGTCGGCCGCCCTCAAATCGTAACAAATCGTCTGAGCAAGTCCCAGAAAAAAGAGCTGATCTGGCAGCAGGTCGAGTCCTGGCATCTTCTGTTCAGGATCCTCCAGAGTCTGTATCCTGTGGCTGCGATGGGCCTCAAATGCCGACCTCAATCCCCCGCTGTCGATATATAAATAGAGTTGGCGGATAAGCTTCGACTCGATCTGCTTACTGAAGTTATTCCACCGGCAGTCCTTATATAGCAGATCCAACTTATTGAAGGAAGGCCAAAGAAGGAAATCGGTGAGATGCTCGCCAACCGTGAAACCCAAGGATCCGAATTTCATGGAATGCGGCCATGAACGGTGGTAATAAGGAGCCTCGAGCAAGCCGGCATCGATTTCGACGATCGGTTTGTCATTTGTAATGCTTTTATCAATTCCAAAAATCGCCTCCCACGGCTTAGTGTTGTTAACGTGTTCCCTTGGGTGGCGGGTGCTGAAACGCTGGATGTCGACTTGAAGGCGGAGCAAATTCATATTGGTCACGGCGTAACTATCGTCGACTACTTCCAGGCGGAGAATCTCCGGGATTTGCTGGTTGGTAAGAGAGGTTTCCGCAGGTGAGCCGAAATGAAACTCTGTGGAGGACACGCGGAGCAGTGCCTTCTTTTGCTCTTCCGAGTACAACCAAGTCACTTTCTCAACTAAAGTTCGCAAGCTATTTCGGACTTCCTGCACAATTTCAAGCACTTCCGACCTCTTTCTGTTGCCAAAGCTCTCCTGCAATATATTTTTATTTTATATTTTTTTTATTTTATTTATATTTTTTTTACTAGACTCACCGCCAAATGGAGTTTCTTGAACAGAGGCCACATGGAGGTTCGCATCTTTGTAGTACAATAATCTCTTTGGTCCTTGATATCCTTTAGACTAGCATCGAATGTGTAGAGCAGCTGCATGGCCAGATAATTGGCCACAGCCTCAGGGTGCCGGATACAAACCCTATCCCTCATATGTAAATCGGGATTAAAAGACCTTCGCTTCTCGCTCTGGTTCCAGACGATCTCGAAATAATTAGTAACGTCAAACGCTACGCCGTGCCTACTAATTTTCATCTCCTCCTCTAGTGCCTCTCGCCAGAACTCAAAAACACCGTCGATCACTTCTGCAATTTTAGCCTCTGTGAGGTTAAAGGATCTTAAGTATCCGCGCATGCGTCGCTCGTTGCGTTTGTAGGCCCAGGATTGGTTTTTCTTCATGTTGGCGTCGAACCCCAAATAATTCACCTCGAAAGACACTTCAGATTCCTCATACTTTGGTAGCACCTCATTGTATATACCCCTTGCCCCGAAATTGGTGAGATGGGCGCTCATGTTGAACCAGCTAAAGTTGGAGGCATTCCAGGCGGCCCCATCCACGGCTGGAAAACCTCCGATCGACCGAATGAGATTGAGGTAATGCGGATCGGCAGCAGGAAACGGATGGAGATCAGCCTCCAGGCAGGCGTTGTAGAATCGTTGGGCCACCCTCAGTTCCCTCGACACATTGAGTGACTCGGCCAGATCCATTCTGTGCAGCAGTTCCTTCGCAATGTCATCTAGTACGTAGCCTGGTTTTCCTAGGTTTTCCCGTCGGGAGTATCGGTCCGGCCTTATGTTTTCGAAGTTACCGCAGGCGTACTCGTAGAAATCGTCACAGGGTGCCACACTCAAGTTCATATATGACTTTATGAGTTCCGCATGGGAGTGAAGGTAATCACTGTCGGAATTAGTTATCTCTTTCTGTTCATTACCAATTGTCAAGGAAAAGCTTAGTAAAAGCAAGTAGATCGGTAGTTCGACCAAACTGAGGCTTATCGAGCACCGAAAAATTCTCTTGAATAATTCCATGCTAATCAGCGGAGATGGTGTCCCTAATTTTAACAAACTGAAGGGTCGACTGTCCAGCTCAGAGCTCGATTTTATACTGTCAGCTTTAAACAATTCTAAGTTGTGCCCTGATGGGGTCTGCCAAGTAAATGTTTAATTGGTAAAATGTCGACCGCGGGATACCCAGTCATATCCAACGTTGTTTAAAACTAACTTAATGGCTAGTTCTTCCTAGATTAAATCAGCCTCGTAAATGCTTTTTTGTTTGATTTTATATGGAATATTGGCCACCCTTGTTCAACATGCAACAAAACTCAATAAAAAGGATTCATGGCCCAACTATTGCTATTGAGCTGTATAGTAGAGGTGGAGAAATATCGATTTTAGTGAACATCGATGTTTTCGATGTTTATGTCAAAAAACATAGATGTTTCTCGATTTTTTTGAATAAAAATTGACCTTCTATTGTATTGGCATATATTTGCATTTGTTTTTACGTTTATAAAAATAAACATAAATATAGCTTTGCAGAGAATATTTTTAGTTTAGCTTAAAGATCGCTACCAACAAGAGACACCGCAACCAAAAACATCGATGTTTTTAAATCAAAATATATTTTTACAAACTGGGCCATTTAAATAGAAAAAATAATTTTTTAAGATTAAACGAAAGAACATTAAAACAGCTGCATGTTTTAATTTACGCTTTAGCTGTTTGTCTATATCTTAGCTTTTTGATTTTTTAACTAACTTTACCAGTTCAGCTCGGTCAAAAATTGATTTTTACGTCAAAAAACCTCGATGTTTAGAAATGTTTTGCAAAATATCATTAAACATCGATCTATCGATAGACAAGAAGAGGTCTACATGCATATTATATTTCTATGCTGCCCTTTTATTAAAGGGTGTACAAAATCGGATTTTTACGTCAAAAAACCTCGATGTTTAGAAATGTTTTGCAAAATATCATTAAACATCGATCTATCGATTTACACATGGATGTGCACCTCTACGGTATAGACAAGAAGAGGTCTCTCTGCATATTATATTTCTATGCTGCCCTTTTATTAAAGGGTGTACAAAATCGGAATTCGGTGATCTTCCTCGTCTCTCTGCGATAAGCGGCTCGAAAAAAACCAAATTAGTAGGGGTATAATCATAATGGCGTAAGCTTCCGTTTTCGCTGCGATAAGCAGCATTTCTACAAACAATCTGTGCGTACACCCAGAAAAATTGAGAACGAAAAAAATCAACATCGACCGATCTTGATTTTAGTATTTGTACAGTGTACATAACATGTTTTACATGTATGTATCCATTTATTGCATCTTAAAATTTTCGTTTGAATCTTGGTAGTTTTTAGGGAAATTTTTGGTGCCATTTTGTTCAACGTCTTAGGGCAATTTCGCCCTAAAAAGAAGGAATTACTTTTGGAGTCGAATCATGAAAATTAGCCCTAAAAAAAAAAGAACAAACTTGCCTTTTTGAAACAACTAACCCTAAAAAATATTTTCCATGGCGATTTTTCGTATATTTCTTTTCTTGTATTTAGGTAAAAATTTCTATGAGAGCAGAATTTTTTATTTTCTAAATTTTACTCAGATTTAAAAAAAATTTGCTTGTTTTGAGGATCCAATTCTTAATTTTTAATAATATACTTGTGTTTTATAAACATATTTACCTAATTTTTGTGAACTGTCTATTTTCGTCTAGCGCCAATTGTATTTTATTTAAATCAATATTGGTTCACATTAAGAATGTTTGTGCTTACCAAGAAAAATTATTTTGTTAAAATAAATTATACTTGGGTTTAGGATAAATCGTTCTTTTATTGAATTATGTTCTTGAATCAAGCACATTTTCAGATAATTTGGGTTTTAAGAACGATTTATTCTTGATTCAAGAACGCGCACTAAATTTATTTTTAAAAGAAGCCCAAAAAATACTATCCGTTTTTTTCTGAGTGTATAGGCTTGATCTCCGGTCAAATTTTTTCTATGTAGAAGTAACAACATTTTTTTATTTTCGGGTTCCTTGCGCAAAATGCGGCTACTTCTTCGATCACTTGCCACAGTTATTTTGCTGTTGGTACAAAAATCTGTTGTGGTTGTTTCCGGCTGCGACTTCTACGACACTGAAGATATTTCAAAAGGTCAGAAGTTTCCGAACGATAGCTTACTCATTCCCGCCGATTTGGTGGCTGAATATAACTTCAAGCTTTTTCCTAATGGCTCCAAAGAGGCCCTATATCTGGTTTTGCAGCTCTCACTATCATAAAATAGATGACAGCGTAGCAGTGATGAAATGTCCGAGGACGAACTGAAAAGTCACAATCCTTACGTGAACGTGACCCTCAACGATGGAACGGTTGCCATAAGACACTTTAAGGACGATCTAATCGTGCAATCGGAACTGCCCATTCCCTGTGATGGCATGTACTATGCAGATCACACACTGCCTGACAATGGCTTCTCACTATTTGAGGTTTGATTGTGTATACATATGGTAAATGGAAAAAGCTTAATCGCTGTTGTTCTTCCTCAGAATGGAACTTTGTTTATCCCCTACTATGGTTGGTACTTGGGTAAGCGGGAATACTGCGTGCAGCATTTAGACTTCAAAGGTGATAGTATTCAAATTGCTCCCCACTTTTGTCCTTTTGATCCTGGAGCTGAAACTGAAACTAAAGTGGAAACTGAAACTACTCCCGAGCAATTGGGAATGATCATCGGTGAACATAACAAAAAATTGCATTGCTAAAATTGACCTATACGGATAGTTACGTAACTATTACTATGTTTATGCTATGCGATTTATGAAAAAACACTGTTTATGCGATAAAAACGAAATCATGAAATAATGTGATATTTCTTGACATTTGCATTTGGCTTTGTAGCGGTAAGATAGAGCAGAGTAGTCACCCCACAAATAATATTTAAAATTTTATACCGAGCTCTGTAGAGTTAAGTAGAGTTTTGGGAAACTATTAAAGCTAGAGGGTTGGCATTAAGTAAGTAGATTCTAGGCGTTCCTACGCAGCGCAAAATTGATTCATCAAGGTGCCAAGCCCACTCTAGCGCCAAAAAGCCGCAAAAAGCAGTGGCGCCACAGTTTTGTGTATAAACAGTACCAATTCCATGACATAGATGGCGCCGCAGCCGCGTGTTCAACACTGCTGGTGGTGCTGGAAAAAAGCTGTCAGCTCTAAAAGAGTTCCAAATTCAAATGGATTTTTTAACTATTATAGCCTCTTCCCATAGAGTCCATCCGTTTGAAACGGATGGGATTTTTGACGAAGGTGAAACTCGTGTTCCCACAGAACTCCATCCACCATCTACCATTTAATAACAGCTGACTGAAGAGCAGTTGCTCAACATTAACGAAGGGGGATTTCAACTCGATTTACCAGAATTTACTATGGTTTACTACGATTTACTACGATATACTACAATTTACTACGGATTACTACGATTTACTACGATTTACTACGGTTTACTTCGATTTACTACGATTTACCACGATTTACTACGATTTACTACGGTTTACTTCGATTTACTACGATTTACCACGATTTACTACGGATTACTACGATTACTATGATTTACTACGGTTTACTACGATTTACTACGGTTTAGTCTTCCTTTAGTCTTCTCAGAACGCGTACGAAAACATCCATGTTATGGTTGCACTATAGATATGCAGAATGGATGATTTGACTTAGCTTTATCCACGGTGTGGGGTAAATATTAACAAAAAATAATCGTCTATCTAATATCTTTAGAGATAATAGATCCTTTGCAATAATGGAAAGAGAAAGAAACATCTTTTGTAATATCTTATTACACCCTTGGAAAGGGTGTTATGATTTCAGTCAGAAGTTTGCAACGCAGTGAAGGAGACGGTTCCGAACCCAAAAAGTATTTATATTCTTAAGTAGTAGTATTCTTAGCAGGGTTCGGAAGTTAACACACATGTTAAAAACATGTAAAATTGTATTTTACAGTGTGAGCAAAGTTGTTGACATGTGTGTCAAATACAAAAGTGTTAAATGTGAAAAATAATTGTTAACACACACAGCCGACTTGTGTTTTTAACACCAATGTGTTATTAACACGATGTGTTTTTTACACAATGTGTTTTTAACACGATGTATTTTTGACTCCAAAAGTGTGCGAGTCAAAAAAAATGTAACTGTAATACATTAGCATTAACATTTAAAAAAATTCTACACTCTTTTAAATATAAAACAAAGGAAAGACTCGTTGATTAAGAGGTCAGAACACTTTCATCCACTAAGAAGATCCATCTTCGGGGAAAAAAAAATCCATTATAGTTTTTACGTTTATCAATGCACAAATCCAACCTATTTGGTTGGTGCTTATTGCTTAATGATTTGTTTGCTACTTATTTTAACACGGCCTATCTTGTCGCTGAACAAAATAATCTTTTATTTAAATTAGAAAATTTTTTACCCCTTCAAAATTTTTAAATTCAATAGATATTTAGAAAAATTATCCATAACCAAAAACATACAAATTTCTTATAACAAAGACACATTATATTAGTAAGGGTAGGCAGAATCAATTTATTTACATATATTGTGAGCTGTCTTCATATTTAATAGTGTTAAGTAGTTCTTTGTTTAGTTTTACAATAAGAATATTCTGCAACGTGTCGGGGCTTAGTTTAGTAAATATATATGGTAGCGCACTAAACGCCCTCTCCACCGAGACTTGCGTTGCTGGCACAGACAATGTAACTTCCGCTATCTTTCCCAAAGCCGGCTCATTTTTTGAATGCATCTTCCAGTACTGAGCCACATTGTTTTCGATGTCCAGTCTGTCCCGGTAC